GGGGGGGGGGGGGGGGGTGGGGGGGGGGGGTGGTGGGGGGGGTGGTGGGTGGTGGGGTGGGTGTGGTGGGGTGGGGGGGGGGGGGGGGGTGGTGGGGGGGTGAGGGAGGGAGGGAGGAGAGGGAGGGAGCGAGGGGAGTGGAGTGGTGGGGGGAGGAGGGTGGGTTGGGGAGCGATAGTAGTGTGATATAGAGTGGGGGAAAGTGAGGAGGGTGATGAAGGGAAGGGGGGAAGGGGAGAGGAGAGGAGAGTGGAGAGGGGGAAGGGAGAGAAGAGGAAAAGGGAGGGGGGGCATTCTCTGCTCTCATATCACGGCGATTTGGAGCATGGAGAAAGGGGCTTCCAAGGTCGGGTTTGCTCCGAAAGGATTGTCATTGTCATTATCTGCCGATATGTCTCTCACTCGCTCACCCTCTCTGTGTATTTCTCTCAACTTTTCTCGGCGTTGTCCTTTTCTTTTTCCCCTTTCGTCTCTCTTCTGAAATGCGACTCAGGTCCCGTGGCCATACCGTGCTGTCCAGAAGGAAGTGATCAACACGCGCTCGCCTACTTTCTCTTCTTCGCGCCCGCGTTGGCCTGGGCTCCGGTCGCACTCGAAACAGGAGCCGAGGGCTTCAGCTCCTTGGTGTCCTGGCCCTCGAGCGCCTTTGTCGTCTTGCCGTCCTCCTTCTTCTCTCCCTCCCCTTCCTCCTCCTCGTCCTCGCCGCCTTGCCCGAACTCGTTGACTCTCGAATAGTCCACCTTGTACTTGTACTTCTGATAAAGCCACACAAAGAAGATGACGTCGTCTCTCAGCGTAGCCAGACGGTGCAAAATCGGCATTCTGATGGTGAACGCGAACAGATCATCAATAAACGTATTCAAGAATTTGTACGTCAGAGCCTTGCTGGGCATGTGTGCCACAGACTTCAGCCTGTAGTTGATGTACAGAGAAGGCACCATCATGAGGAATCCGTAGGCATAAACTGACCCCACCAATGTCTCGATCACGAAGCTGTACCATGACTTGTGAGACTCGTAGATGAGACTGTACACCGCGTAAGCGAGCAGCAGTGGCACGGCCACAATGTACAAGTATCGGAAGGCGATTTGATCATATTCTTGCGTTTGCCTTTCTTTCTCCGTCAGTTTGTGCTTGTCCTCAAACACAACCACGTATGGCAATATGTTCTTGAACCTCGAGTCCGGGCCGGGTTCGCGCAGGCGCACATCCACGGTCTTGGTGATCTTCCAGGCTTCAAGGAGAATGCCGAAGCCTTGGGATGCAAGAATCATCCAGGAGGTATTCTCCGAGTTGTCCATCAAGTACAAGAAGATGACGGCCTGCATGAACACGTTCGCAAGGATTGTCCTCACAGATGTGCCCACGTTATCCTTCTTGCTTCGCCAATGAGAAATATCATTCTTGAATGCCAGGCCTTCAAAGACCATATGCAGGATACTGACGACGAACGTTGTCCCCAATAAATAAGCATTTGTGTCCAGGAGGATTTCCTTGAATTTCTCGAACTCGCTGCCATCGCCACCACCCGGCATGGGCGCACCGTTCGCAGCTTGTGCCTGGTTTTGTTTCATGCCCTCGTCGACAGACGCCAACAGGTTGTATTTCCAATTGGCCAAGTTGTACAGTTGGATGTTGAGGGGCATTTGCTTGACGGTTTCGTTGAGTTCGGTCATGTGGCTGCGTAGTTGCCAGAAGGTGTTGAGGAAGACGACGGGATAATACCAACCATTTTGGCCCGATGCATCGCGTTGACCAGTCGGTTCGAGGACGATATTCTTGCGTATCGCTGGATGCATTTGGCGCCAGTTTTGCACGCCTGTGTTCGGGATCACAGCGACCGTGAAGTTGGGGTGGTAGTAAGAGCCAATTTGGACTCCCTGCGGTTCTTCCGATTCTTCTTCTGTTGGCTCCTCGCTCTTCTCGAGCAGATTCTTCAATTTACGGGCCTTTTTCTTCGGGAGGAACTGGTTCAGCGGTCTTTTAAAGTGAGTGGCTTTATGCGGGTCGTAGTTGGGACTTGTTGGGTCAAACTCGCTGCCAGCCAAGGCGAGATAGAAATGAGCCCATAGCGTCCCGTTGTGTTGTACCTCTGTCGGGATGGCAATCTGCGTATGTACCTCTCGGTTTTCATCGTAATTTCCGATCCCAAAGCTCTTCTCTTCCAGGACGAGGCTTTCCTTTGGCACGGCTGAAAGGGCAGGAAGGGTGTCCTGCGCAGACACATACATTCGGATATCGACGACACTGTTGTCTGGCCATATCGGAGCAATGTTTTGAGGGATAAGGGAATAGTTTGTGAGGGCGGTCACATCGGCTCTTTCATCGAAGTTGACATTTTGCTTGGGCGCGGCGTCGCTTCCGCCAGACGTCGACTTGGATCCAAAGAAATTGTTCACAACAAACTGCGTGAGCATAAATATAGCGAGACCTTGTATAACCGTTTGGAACATCGACTACTCATCTGTTAGGACTCGTTGCAAATGCATGCCGACCATTGAACGCTCTCACCTTTCCCCCCTGTTCCTCTCGTGCGGCAGGGGCGCCGCTACCTCTAGGCTCTGGCATCTTGAATTGTCAGAGCCACTGACAATAGAGATAGAGCAGGGAACAGCGCTCTTTGACAGAGTGGCAGACCAAGTTCTATTGCGCGATCGAGAGGTTGGCTCGCTCCATGTGGGCCGCCGCAGTTCGGCCGTGGGGTGTGCGGAATTTAGTTGATCCGGTGGGAGGGCGGCCTTGGCATTGATTTGTGACTTGATCATTCGGGCCAATAAACCCGGCATTCTTGACCACGACTTTTGTTCCTCTGATATCGACCAGACCTGTGCCCTCAATTGCTAGCTGCAATCATTCCCGAAGAGATACCCGCATATGGCGTCCTAGGACGCAATGATCAGTCCAACTCACGTCGCGCGCATCCATGGCAAATGGCGGCTCGGTGCCCCAGTTTCCTACCCATAATGCCCCTCGAGTTTGGCTCTTGACCTCGGGAGACTCTCCAATTGGCATTTCGGTCGCGCGCCAGGTGCTTGACCATGGCGACTATGTGGTGTCTGGTATCATCCAAGCCGAGTTCGAGAATGATGGGGCTCGCAGTCAAGAGTTCAAGAGGTTTCTGTCCCAAGTGGGACGGACACCAGGAATGAAAGAGCGGCTCAAGGTTGTGGCCCTGGATATTAGGTATGCAATTCAGCGTTTTCGCAAGATACTATTTTACGATTCGCGTTCTACTTGTATCTGTCCCCTACAAGATCGCTGGAATTAACTCGCAGACAGGGTTGTTGGACAGTGTCAGGCGGCTGTTGCGGAAGCCGTGCATACTTTTCGAAAGATCGACATACTCTTTTGCTGTACCAGTGAAGCAGTAATTGGAACAGTGGAAGAGCTTTCAGCCAGCTCAAGGACCCTGACGCTGGTTCGAGACCAGTTTGAGAAGAATTTCTTCGGCCCAATGAATATCATCAAGGCTGTCATCCCTCAGATGCGCTCACAGATGAATGGTCACATCATTACGCTCACCGGCATCACAGGTCATCTCGGAACACCAGGGTTGAGCATGTATTGTGCGTCAGGGTGGGCGCTGGAGGGCTTTTGTGACAGCATCGCCTATGAGATTGCACCTTTCAACATTAAATTGACCATTGTCCAAGCAAGCGTAGAGATCGGGATCTTGACCAACAAGATCACTTCAGCGCCACCAATGAAGGCCTATACCCGAGAATTTGGTCACACGGCTCCAATATTTCGAGGCATCCTGGACGGCTTATTGAATCGCCTCCCTGGTATTCGTACCCAATATCCTCCTCCGCCGGAGACCGAAATTCAGTCGCCTTCGTCAGAAGCGGAGAGGCAGAGCGGCCCGTACCTCCTCAGTCGTGACGAGGTTGTCAGCTTGTATCCACCTCTCAGTCATGCGCATACAGAAAAACTGATTGCAGAGACTGTCCATGCATTGACGGCCATTGGTGGTCATGAGAACCCGCCCGCCCGTCACATTGTCGGCATTGAGGGCGTGGCTAGCGTGAAGGAGAAGCTGAAAACTGTGAGCGAGGAACTGGAAGAGTTTGTAGACACCAGTGCATCAGCCGATATTTTCGCCCGGCAGGGTGCGGGTGGGTCGGGGCGTGCAGCAAGTGTCGTAGACGTGGACATCAAGGATCTTGAGGGTGACATCTTCGATGCTTCACTGGGACTGAGATAGTCAGATTTGACCTTGGGTAGTTGCTTGTATATTGATTCCAGCTTAGTCGAAAGTTTCTCCTGTGTGCTTTCAAGTGCCTAGAATTCAGCGTCGTTCGCCTCGGTCGTGGTCTCTGTCCCTGTCGCCCCGATCTGCTTCGCGGCGCCGTCTGGATCGAGAGGTGCTTCTCGATCGCGCTCGGCGATGATGATCACGTTCTCGGGCTTGCGAGGGTGATTGTGATCTCACACGGTCAGACCTGTTCCGCCGTGGGGACCGGGATCGGTGCTCCCTATGTCGATGGCGGTCTTCCCGGTGTCTTCTGTGATGGCTGTCTCGGTGCCGATGGCCACTGCGACTCCGGCTTCGGTGCCTTCGGTGGCCATGACGGCGCCTATATTCCTTGAGCGCATAGTCGAGCTCCTTTTCCTGATTTGTAAGGGTGCCTTCGAGGCGTTCCGTAGTGCTGGATTTCCCCTCATTCATAGCCGAGACCCCTGCCATTCGCCCATAACCAACACCCCTGGAAGACGCCATGTCCTCGCCAGCTGCAGCCTCTTTCAAAGCGTGGTCAACTTCGCGTCGAGCCCCCAGCTCATCCATGTTTGGATTGTTCCGCTGGGGCACTGGCAGACCAAGAGCGCGGGCGAGTGCATCTTCCTCGGCCTGTTTGACTCGCTGGATCTCCTCTTTACGCTCTCTTGCAGCTTTGGCGGCAGCATCTTCGTCACCTTGGGCATCACCGTCTGCTTTAGCATACCAGGAGAGATCACGGCCTTTCTGCCAACGACCAACGGGAGCCATCAGCGAGTGCCCCAGATAATTCTCACGGTGGGAAGAGCTTTCAACATCGGACCACTTGAACTCTCCGCGACCCCCTCGCGACCCCTCCTTTCTGACAGTAGCTAGCAAATCCATAGGTGTACCAGGCCAAGGCTGGCAGAGACAATGTCACTGTCAGAGATGCAGAAAACGTCTGGCGGAATTGTGGGTGAGAAATGAGATTCGGGGTTGGAGGCCCACCAGTGTTCGGTAGCGTTATGCTGTGTAACCACAAGTCGACACCGCTCGCGGCATGTACTGGGACAATTGTGACGGCTCAAATCAATAGACAGCCATCTGCGGAGGGTGGACTACTCGCGCACGCTGATCGACGGGATGATAAGTCGCATACAGGGGGCGGGGGGTGTATGTGGCGTCCAGGATTGCAGAACGTGACAAGGGGATGAGTCGAGCCGTCGCAGAGTCGGCTGGTCGCGTATGCAATTCTTTCCGGATCGATACGTTCTGTGTTGCCAACCTCGATCAGAAAATGCAGGTGTCGGCGTGCGAATTACTCAGCTAGACCAGCTCGGATGCGATGGCAGTGGGTGGATGGCAGTGGATGTGTTCAAGCAAGGAGGAAGACAAGCACCGAACCACAAATGTGAGATACCAAGTCATGTATGTCGACGTCGGATGAGCGTGGATGAGCCAATATTAATTCGATTTCCCCCCCGGCGCTACAAATGCGTCATCTTTCAGTCACTCGGCCGGTGCCACTCATGTGCTCCGTACCACGGCAAGTATTCAATCTCCAAGCTGTCAATCTGCCTTCACTCAGGTTCATTAATTGCAATACATACAACTGACAAGTTGCTGGCCAACCTATTTACCTCGTCTGCTTCCCCTCTTCGTAACCTTCGGGTGCAGATACGACAGTTGCTGACATCTACCGGTGAGTTGCAGGCAAGCTGAAGTGAGCCAAAGTCTCCCTCCCAATCTACCTGCGCTCATGCGCCTACGCCGTCACTCGCTGCTTGGTTCTGAACCTCCTCCGGACGAGCTCAAACCCCTCTAGATCCGAGATAAAAAGAGGACACGCGCGTACTAGGTAGCGATCATGCGTTCCGTCATGCCTTGAATGGTTACAAGAGACTGCAATTGAACAAAGGGATCTATTGATGAAAGCCGTTGGCCTTTGACAGGAGCATGGACGAAGATACCCGGCCTTTCGAGTCGGTCAACATTGGTCTCACGAGCATCGAGACGGGAACTGAAAGGTTCCTGCGCGATGGAGTACCATGCCTTCCATCGCTCTCTTACTGGCGAAACAATTTGACTGCTTTGTCTCAACGCTTTAATCTCTACTTTGTGGCAACCAGAGATACCGTTGCTGTCTACAGGCCAGACTTTCCCTTCCAGAAGCTTCACAGACTGCCTGCGCTGCTCATTGTGCCCGCGCTCGCAAATCCCGATGCGGATGGCTATATTGATTCCCAATTTCCTCATGCCATCAATCACCTAGTGGTGGGAGACCTGGGGAAGGAGGAGATTCTTCTCATTGCAACCGATTCCGGCAATATTTCTGCCTATTATACCCACTCCATCTCTGAAGCTATACGCAAGGACCCGTATCGCTTCAGCACGGATGCTCGGAGTGAGTACGTCGGACTCGGGCCCTTCTTCACGCAGTGGGTCTATGAATCTGCTTGGGGCCTTGCAATACACAGGCATGCCCGAATGATTGCGGTGTCGGCCAACACACCTCATCATGTGGCAGACGCTGATCCTTGTGCTAAAATAACCGTATTTGCTTTTGCCTTGACAGACACGAGTAATGACGGGAGAGATGATGAGGACCAAAGGTCCGACGATGATTACGAGGTTTCCCAGCATGCTAAACAGCTGGATTGGCAAGAATGGCTAGCGTTAGGCGTTGATGCCACCCCTCCACCACGCAATAAGAATTACAAAATCACTCTCGCGGGCATCGAAGGGCATGACCATAACATCCCCTGCATTTCTTTTGTGAACACAGATGATGACGTGGAAGGAAACTGGCTGTTGAGCACCGATATCAATGGTGACATGAAGATATGGCAAATATGGCAAGGTCTCTGCCACAAATCCTGGGATTTCTCTGAGAGAAGCATGCGAGCATCCACTTACCGGAGGCGAGAAGGAGGCTGGCTTGTTGCTGCCCTGGACCCGCGTGCATTCCGGCCAGCTCGGACGATGGAGCAATTTTGCGGTTACTCCAAGGTACCTCAGTACCATGGGCATAATGACCTGGAAAGCTACGACCTGACTAATGTTGTCCGACTCCGCACGCCTAGCAATGGTCATATACACTTTCTCATGTATGAAGGTATGGAGGACGACGAGGATGTGGAAGATGTCCGGGAGACATTTGACTCTTGGTCTGACATGGACGAAGCCAGCGTTGATGCTGAGCGAGCTGAGTTCAGTGCAAGCCTGCTTCCAACCTATTTTCAAGATTCTGTTGACGGATCTTCGGACGACGATGACGGAGTCATTGAAGAACCAGAGGTCGCCCCGGTATCAGACAGCAGCGAGGCCACCTCTGTTTCTGGGTCCGATCCGAGATCTCACAGTATTGTTGATGACGGACCTACAACACCACAGAGAGACACTCTATCGCTCGAATACATGCGATTCGAGGAGGCCGACAGCGAATCTGCAGAGAGCGAGAAAGAGGAGGTACACTATTCTTCTGATTCGGAGGATGTTGAGGATATCGACCTCTCTTCTACGAGTCGACGAAGTACCACATCATTGTCAAGTCTCGCCCAGCGGAACAGCCAAGAGATTGACGTGGACGTCCTGTCCGCATCCGATGTTGATTCTCCCTTGCGCAGACGGTCGCACATGGAACCCCAAGATTCCAAACCACCGACTCAGAGCGGCACTTCGAAAGTTTCCAAAGCCCGTTACAGAGCCAAGCCACCGATTATACCTACTCTTCATTGCAGCGTATCAAATTTGAGACTGATCATTGCTCCCGAAGCAGATTCACCGCATGTATTTTGTGCCAACATCCTCAAACAGGCGCTACCTCCTTTAATACAGGGTTCGAGTCACGCCAACATTGACAGACTCAATATGATGTTGCAAATCCCTGAATTGGGGGTTGTTGTCATTGCTACACAGATCGGTCGATGTGCGGTCTGTTCACTGACGAAAAACGAGAAGACGGGCACACTGGGAATGCGGGTGAGCTGGATTTTACCAACCAAGAAGCAAGAGATGAAAGGCTTGCGTCCATTTGGTCCACTCCTCGGCATAGCAGCTTCCCCGGTTCAAGGATGCTTCATGCGAAACGGATTCGAAGATCGATCTGGGTCGACCGAGTCATCGGAATGGGGCAAAGACGGGCTTGTGGATGGAGTTCCCACCACATTCGACCATACTGTGCTTGTCGTCGACGGGCGCAGTGGCGAAGAGGATGGCTCTCAGCTGTTAAAGGTTGACACAGAATCTGAAGAGCATGTAGAAGAGCACCGGCCGAAGAGGAAACGTCTGTCACATCATGCTCAGAAAAGACGATCTGCGAGAATCAGGACAGAGACACGGGAGTGGGAAGTCCCATCAACTCCAGAGGCATGGCAAGCCCTTGAAAGTAGTCGGAGATACAGGCTCATGTTGACATATATGGATATGACTGTTCTATCCTACGAGCTATCGCGGGGAGTGGAAAGAAAGGATATTAATGCCTACGAGGAGGTGTCAAGCCTCGACCTGCTTGATTGATGCAGGTGACAAGGCGATACACGAGATATTCGAGATATTATGAATGTGGATATTTATATTCTATACTTGATGACAATGCCTTCAACCAAGTTCTTATCTAACAGGTAGATATCAATGTCTCTTCCCAAGCGTCTCTTGAGGCTTGGGAAAGGAGGATTCCACGACGAGGCTGAGAGGCTGTGATTGGTGGGGTACCGCCACCAAGTCAGTGATTGTATGAGGTCATATCAGAGACGTTGGATCGTGTCTATAATCTTCTTCTACATCTCGTTCCGAATTGTAGTGAGAGACATAGAAACTATTTATGCATTGGTGTCTTTCGAATCGAGGCATTTTCCTCTGACATCGACGGATTCGGATTGCAAACCCCGCAACCCAGTCCTTTCAGTCCTTTGCCGTCACCAAGGAAACCCTCGATCAGCCACCATCCGTCTCTCCCTTCACAAGCAGCATCGGCTGCTGCCATTAGGACAATACATTGGCAGAAACAACATGGCCGAGCGCGAGCAAAAAAAGACGATAGTGGTCGTGGGCGGGGGTATCATCGGCTGCACAACCACGTATTTCCTGACCCGCCATCCGAAATACAATCCCGCATTACACTCGATCTATCTCCTTGAGGCTACGGGCATTGCTAGTGGTGCGTCAGGGAAAGCCGGTGGCTTGCTGGCCCTGTGGGCTTATCCCTCGTGCCTGGTGCCGCTCAGTTTCAGACTGCATTCCGAACTCGCCAAGGAACACGGGGGTGATCACCGATGGGGATATAGGGGCGTGGGCGTTGGGCAGATCGATCTGAAGGGCCGCCATGTCAGTGACCAGGAAAAGGTGATGGCCCGCCAGGGCGCTGTGGATGGCGAAGTGCAAGGAAACGGCGCGGGCGAGAAGGAGGATATCAGGGGAATTCACCGGCCGGATGTCGCCAGCGATGGCAACGTCGATCCTACCCGCGTCAGTCTCCAGAAACGAAGCAAAGAATCGTACGACAGCCTCCGCAGCATGGGACTCCCGGACGATCTGGACTGGGTGGCGGAAGAGTGCGTCAACGCATACGACTCGATGGGCTCTCCGAGCGACACGGCGCAGGTCCATCCCTATCACTTCACCACCTCCATGGCGAAACTTGCCGAGGAAAAGGGCGCCCGCGTCGTCTTGGGCAGCGTCGACGAGATCGCGTCTCGAGAAGGAGGCGAGCACGCGGTAAAATACACGGACAGTTCGACCAAGGAAGGGAAATGCCTCTACGCGGACCATGTCATCATCACTGCCGGGCCGTGGACGAAGAATGTCTGGCCCAGATCTCCCATCGGCGCCTTGCGCGCTCACAGCGTGACCATCCGCCCTTCGAGGCCGGTCAGCGCATACTGCCTCTTCACGTCGATCTCGCTGCCCAAGAACTTTAAGGAGGGCACAAAGTCGCGGGCACGCCACGTCACGCCGGAGATCTACGCCCGGCCGAACAATGAGGTATACGCGTGCGGCGAGGGTGACCACCTCGTGCCCTTGCCCAAGTCTACAGCCGATGTCCAGGTCGACGACAGCCGCTGCCAGGACATTGCCGACTATTGCGCGAGTGTCTCGGATGAGCTGCGTGATGGCACCGTGCTGGTCCGCCAGGCGTGCTATCTGCCGCAGGTTGAGACGGGTGGGGGACCCCTGGTCGGCCCCACGGGCGTCAAGGGCATCTACATGGCTGCAGGACACACTTGTTGGGGGATACAGAACGGGCCTGGCACGGGCAAGTTGATGAGCGAGTTCGTGTTTGATGGCGAGGCGGTTAGCGCCAACGTGAGCAGTCTGGATCCCAGGAGGGTATTGAGATGAATGAGATAGAAAACAAATACAGGGGCTGCCAAACAAAGTATCATAGGGAAACTCCCTTTTAGTGGTGTGCGTGATCTGATCTCCTGGCACTGGCTAATCCATCCTATTGCCACGAAATATCCATTGCCACTGATGCGACATGTCGGTCGCTCAATACACTTTGACGAGCCATGATCCAACGGACCTCTATGCCTTCCACGCACTCACGACCTGCACCACGTCCTCGTCGGCGACAACATGGGCCAGCCCGACTCTCTGCGGGATGTGCTTGGCCGAGGCGCCCCAGACCAGCGCGTACTTGAACGTCTCCTTGAGCGTGCGGTGGATCTGGTCACACACGTCCTCGATCGTGCTGCCGCTGCGGACGATGAGGGCCTCGCTAAAGTCCGGGTCCACGCCCTGTCGCTTGGTGTAGATGCGCATCAGGCGCAGCTCCTGCCAACACCTCTCCACCACGTCCTGGACGCCCAGGTCCAGCTCGCACGACATGACCACCGTGTGGGGCTCGCGGGCCAGTTCGTCCAGGTACTCGACCGTGACGCTGTCGATCTTGTTGTACACGTACAGACACCGGATGTACTTGCGGTGGTCTTTCATGATGACGTCGATGAAGTCGTCGACGGTGGCGTTCTCGTCGCGCACGAGCACTTCGCAGTTGAGCATCTTGTAGTCCCGTAGGATGTTGTACAGCATCTTCTCGTCCAGGTACTTGGGCGGGGATTGGAAGGTGATCTTCATGCCGCCGGCCTTCTTGGCTTTCAGGTAGATGTTGGGCGGTTCGCGGTTGAGACGGATGCCGACGGCCTCGAGCTCGGCCTCAAGAAGAGCCCGTTGCTCTGCGCGCTTGGTGGCGTCGAGCACCATCAGGATCAGGTCGGATGTCTAAGTCAGACTCAGTGTCAGCGAAAATGCCTTTTGGAGATGAAGATGCGAGCGCTCTTTCTTATCGCCTGACCTTTGCGGCGCTGATGACCTGTCGTCCTCGCCCTTTTCCTTCAGAGGCACCTTCGATGATACCAGGGAGATCCAGGATTTGGATCTCTGCTCCTCCATACTCGAGCACGCCAGGAATGGCCGTGAGTGTCGTGAAGGAATATGCGGCCACTTCGGACTTGGTCTTGGTGATTTTGGAGAGGAAGGTCGATTTACCCACTGAAGGGAAGCCGACCAGGGCTATTCGGGCATCTCCTGATTTTGAAACATCGAAACCTGTACCACCACCGGAGCCGGCACCCGCGGCTGGTTCAAGTAGTTGTGCACGTAGCCGTGCGAGTTTGCTAGCCACAGAAGTCAGCCACTGTTGTTAGCTGCAACCATAAGATGCCAACTGAGAGATGAGGGTGCTGAGGTGACACAACAACAAGATGGGGTTACACGAAAAAGGGGCAAGGCTGAAACATCAGCAGATTCTCCCCTGAGTAGCAAACCTTAGGTGTGCTCGTGCTCGACAATCTGCGTCCATTTTCGCACCACTTGTAGTTCCATATTTTATGAAACAAGAAGCATATCCTAGCTCCTCGTCCAGAAGCTCAGTTCAAATATGCATTGCAAAAGACTGAAAACAGAGTCACGTGCATATATCGAAGGCACGTGCACAGGTTCTCGCTCTTCGTCTCATCTTCTTCCCTCCGTTCCTCCTCCTGCTGGTTGCTTCGTCATGAAAAACAGAATGGTGGACCTACCCTTTTAGTAAACCAAGGTGATACTCTGGGGATCGCTCTCTGTCAGGGCGTGCATAGATCAGGATTCTGAAGCATTCGAGCACGAACCTGTGGCTTTGTTTTCTGCAACCCAATCAGCTCTGGACCAGGCCATCTATGACAAGCTGCTGAAACCCACTCTGAGTTCGGGCCATTTCGGCCTCGATCCTGTACCAAGAGTCAGATTCCAGACGGCTCTGAGCGAGACACAGGCAACCCACTCCTTGATCTTCTCTGTTATGTTGACCATCTTGAAAGTGAGGTTCTGAACAATCTGTACGACAGCACTGTGACCCTCGGCCGACCTGGGCAAGACTTGAAAAGGCGCGCAAAGAAAGAGAATCTGTGTCTCTTTTCCGTCCAAACAAACAAACCCTGTCCGTCGTTTCCGAAGCAGTGTCGAGGGAGTCAGTTGGTGCAAGATACCAAGGATCAAGTTGGACGATGGGAGAATTGGCATATCGGAACAAGGTAATTCCGTCCCGCTAATGTCTTGGCTGTTAAGCCTCGTGTCGTGACTCTTTAGGACACGCCTTTTCACCACATCCTTCTTCTCTTTTTCCAACAACCACAACAACAAACCCACGACAATGAGGACGAGAAATATGTTATAGGTGGTTGCAGCTGTCGCTGCGGCTACCAGGCAAGCGCTCCAGAGGAGTCACGTGCCAAGACTTTTGCACGAAATAGCGAATACTAAGCGGGTCTCCAGGTCCCCTAGGGGATCTGAAGTGAATCCTCACCATGCCGACGAAAAAGAAAGGAAAGAATCAACAGGCGCAGGCTCCTGTGCCTCAACCACCAAGGTCCACAACACCACCTCCGTTGGAACAGTCTCAACGCAACTTTGAAGAAGAACTCGCCGGCTACCCGGAAGTCCAGCGTAACGAGTTCCTCACCACAAGAGCAATCTATCCTGACGAGTTCCAGCGTATTCGGGGCAGAAAGGATGCGTGGAAGGTAAAGGGACCGAACCGCACCCTCATCATGAATGAATTCTAACATCCACACAGACTCAGGAGAATTTAGCCTTTCAAGTTCGAGTCTCACCACTCGAAAGTCGTGACTACTTTGTCAAACTCATCTTCGAGTTTCCCCGCGACTATCCAAAGGTGCTCCCGAAGATTAACATTGTTGAGGTTGAGCCAAAAGACCCCAACCTCAGAAAGCAAATTGAGGACATTATCGCCACCAACCAGAAACAAAACCAAGGAAGCGAGATAGTCTACGTGGTCAACACTGCCATCATGGACTTCCTCGATCAGTTTGTCTCGGACAAGGCTGCCAAGAAAACCGAGTTCAGCCTTGAAGAAGAACGTGCCGCCCAAGAAGCTTTGGCTAAGAAAAATCTCCAAGAGAAAGAAGAAAGCGCACGGAGACAACAGGCGGAAGAAGCCGAGGAGAAAGAAAAGCTGCTGTATTCTCAAGTCGAGAGCGAGAAACAACGTCGCCAGAAGTCCAATCTCTCTCGCACAGCGACTGGGGAAGATGGTGCAGTGCTCTACGATTCACCCGAAGAACAAACCCGGTTTGACCAGTCCATGACCTGCAAAGACACAGTCACAAATGCCCCATTCAAGTTCAAGGCTGTTTCAGGCAGAGCTGTCATTCTAAGACGGAAAGACAAGAAAATCACCATCGTCTCCCCCCGAGTGGACAGCGAGCTTGTACAAGCTCCGCAGCTCCTACTCAAGGACATCTACATTCCCGAGACGGCAAATACAAGAGCTCAGATGCAGAAATGCATGGAGATAGTTGAAGAAGACCTGGAATTCTCAAAGGAACATCATCACGAAAATGTCGTTGACTTGATCAATTACAAGATTGAGCATATCGCCCTTGAGGATGGTACAGGCCAGTGGAGCCTTGCAGTCCTCTCCGAATTTGCCGACAAAGGATCTCTTGATGATCTTCTTGAGCTTTCTGGACCGCTCAGCCCGACAAAAGTCCGGACTTGGACTCGGGAGCTTGTTGATGCCCTCGTATTTTTCGACAAACATGGCTATGTCCATCCCGCGGTGCATGCTGGTAATGTCATGCTTTTCATATCGCCCAAGAGAGGGGTTACAGTCAAGCTGTCAGACGGCTATGGGACAAAACTTCGAGAACTTGTTGATGCAGTAAGAGACAAGTCTCATACGAAGACGGATGAGCTGCCTCTCTGGATCGCTCCCGAGCTCAACAACGAGTCGCCAGCACGCACGAACAAGACCTGCATTTGGGATCTCGGCGTGATCGTGATGCAGATGGCTTTGGGTAAAGGAGTCAAATCCAAATACACTTCCCCTGCAGATGTGCTCGATGATGTCGATTTCGAATCTAGTGCTCAAGGACTACTGCAAGAGATGTTTCGATCCAATCCCAACCGTCGCCCTTCAGCCTTTCAACTCTCGAGCAAGAAAATCTTCTTCGAAGAAAATGACAACCTCTTCCGAACGCAGTCCCTGACTCTCCCTGTTACCCCAGGCCGTGTAAGACGCTACAGTGACAGACTTGGAAATTCCAGGTATCGAAACGAATGGGAAGAGTCTGCTGTACTTGGGCAAGGGGGCTACGGCAAAGTCGTCCGTGCCAGGAACAAATTAGATGGTCAGTTTTACGCCGTCAAGGAGATCAAGAGTCAGTCCATAAAGGAACTCGAAAACATTCTACGGGAAGTTGCCCTTCTTGCGAAACTCAACCACCCGAATATTGTCAGGTACTACAATGCCTGGTATGAGACCGCACACGAAGAAGTGGAAGAGCCACATCATCGAGCAGTCCCGACGAGATCGATCCCCCAGACGGCCCCTTTAAGTCTTGGTCATGATTTCATGGAACCATCAATCTATCGCAACCAGGGTGCAGAATTCAGCGATTCCGACGATGGTAACCTGTTTGCTTATCAAGACCCACCTTCTATTGATGCAGACGACGGTTTTGATGACGACCCATTCCAAAGTGATCCAGAACCAGAGAGAGAGCAAGACCAGGGGACTAGTGATCCTTTCGAACGGTCAAATGCCCCAGAGCCAGGATCCGGAGAAAATGCAAATCCATTCCAGAGCGAGGACTCTCCACAGGTGGCTGTAAGTCATGTCCGGACACGCCCGCCTCCAAACAACGAACCATCCGTATTGTACATTCAAATGGAGTTATGCGACGGGCGAACATTGCGTGATCGTATCAACGGAGGTCTGCCAAAAGATGTCGATGCTGGCTGGCGGTTGTTTCGACGCATACTTGAAGGACTCGCCTACATCCACAGTCATGGCGTTGTACACAGAGATCTCAAACCTGACAACATCTTTCTCGACTCACATGACACTCCCAAAATTGGCGACTTCGGACTTGCAGGATACGGACAAGCAACTTCTAAGCCAGACCTTTCGCTTTCGAGACCAGCCATGGTCACGGTTTCGTACCACATTGGCACTGCAGGGTATATGCCTCCTGAGCTTGAACGGACTGGAAGCAGCTACGATTCGCGCGCGGACATGTACTCCCTTGGAGTCACGTTCTTCGAGATGTGTTTCTCCTTCAGCACGAAGACCGAAAGAAGCATCTACTTGGAAGCGAGACTCAAAGAAAACCCACCACAGCTACCCCAGCTCTTCAAGGAAGAAAGCCATCAGAAACAAGGTGACATAATTGCGCGGCTAATCGATCATGATCAAACTCGCAGACCAACCGCCTCGATGCTCCTCAACAGTGGCGTGATCCCAGAACCTCTCGAGGACGAGAAATTCCAACGCTACATTGATAGAATGGCGGCAGAAAATCCCGGTGAATACCAAGCACTGATTACGAAGCTATTCGCAAACCCGAACAGCCCTGTTGCGAGTCTTGCTTGGGAAGACAAGTCAACCACTGGCACAGCCTCTGTCGACTCGATGCTTTGGATATCTGCTTGCGATCAGCTAAAATCCATCTTTCGCCGACATGGAGCAGTGGAAGTCGGACGACAAAGTATCTTCCCAAAAGCCGAGTTCTACCCACATGCAGCAACTTTCCTCGATTCTTCAGGCTTGGTGGTCCAGCTTCCATACGATCTGACGCTCCCTTTTGCTCGCACACTTGGACAGACTTCACCAACCTACAGCAAGACCTACTGCTTTGGAACCGTGTACCGCGCTGCAGCACCAGGCTCACAGCCGAGGCAATTCCCTGAAGTTGACTTTGACTTCGTATCGAACAGTGCAAAGGACTTGCCATTGAAGGAAGCAGAGGTTATGAAAGTTCTTGATGAAATCCTCACCGAATTCCCTGCTCTAGCCGCACGCTGCTGGACAATCTACATTAATCATGCCGACTTGCTCGACCTTATCCTCGACTTCTGCCGGATCAAACCAGTTGAAGCTGCCGACGTCAAACGGGCTCTCTCACATCTCAACACCCAGGGACACGGGTGGACACAAATACGTGAAGAGTTACGCAGCCCCGCCATCAACATTCCAGAGACGTCTGTGACGGATCTGAAGCGGTTCAACTTTGACGGCGACTTGGAGAAGGTGCGCGCCAAGTTGTCCAAGCTGTTTGGTGACTCCGACCATTTCAGCAAGGCGTTGCCATTACTTGGCCGCCTCGATGAGGTCACAAAGTACCTCCAGCGCATGAACGTCCAGACACAGATCCTCATCGCGCCACTCAGCAACAATTCTGAGTATCTCTACCGGCGGTCGCTGCTCTTCCAGTGCGCAGACAGCGCTTCTCGACGTGTGCTGGCGGTTGGCGGGCGGTACGACGCCCTGGTCCAAGAATATCAGACCAAGTCTGACAAAGGCAATACCCGCGCGGCGGGTTTCCGCCTCAACATACTGGACCTGATCGGTTACGTCCGTGGCCAGATCTCCCAGGCCGGCAAGTCGTCTAAGATGACGGCGACCGCGGCTGCAGAGTCGAAGCCAGTGGCCAGGAGATGCGATATCCTGGTCACCAGCTTCGACGCCAACGCGTTGAAGACATCGTGCGTGGAGGTCTTGTCGTCGCTGTGGGCCGCTGGGCTCAGTGCAGAGCTCTCTGGGGAGTTCCACTCCTTGGAGGAGCTGGAGATGGCTTACGGCAGCCAGAATGCCGGAGGACACTGGCTGGTGATTGTGAGGGGAGGGGCCCTTGGGGAGAGGACCTTGAAGGTCCGGGGTCCCTCTCGCTCAGAGGACGAGGTCAAAGCTGGGGAGTTGGCGGGATTCTTGCGTCTGAAGATGGCGAAGAATAGATAGGATGGAGACGAGTTTTCTTTCTTTACTTTTGCTGCGAACAATGAAGATACCCCAGATTCACAACTAATGACTGTGCTACGTGTGATATGTGAGAGGTGTGTCCCGCGCAATGTCCAGTGTCTTCTCCCCTGAAGCACAAGTTGTCCATAATGGTAGTTGTGATGTGCCGTAGCTGTTGTACGGTGACGTACTAATTGTCCAGCCGCAGCTGCGTTGCTTTCGATAACTACAAGCACGGAGTACAAGGCCAGTTGTCCCCCACAGGCAATGTTCTCCAAAACCAACACCAATGGCGAGTTGAGGTGAGGCATTTGAAGATAGCCACAAGGCAGGATGTTGAGCTATGCGAGCGGGTCTGTGACTTTTGGACATCTGCGCCTTTTCGTTTTCACTCTCTTCTCGCTCTGTTCCTGGGTTGCGCACGCCTCGAACGACACCCTCCTTTGGGGTCCTTACCGACCGAATCTCTACTTTGGAGTCCGACCGCGAGTCCCCAATAGCCTGTTGACCGGTCTATTATGGGCCAACACCGACAACTATGGCTCTGCACAGCTCAACTTCCGGCACACGTGCGAGCAGCATGAGGGGATGGCAGGATATGGTTGGGAAGAGTACGATGTTCGAAATGGTGGAAGACAAGTTATACGTGACACGGGGAACAAGATTGACTTGACAATTGATTTTGTCAAGATCGCTGGCGGAGAACATGGCGGTAACTGGGCCGCGAGAATAAAGGGCAATCCAAGAGAAGATGCGCCGCCCACTCTGGTCACAACCTTGATCTTCTATGCCGGCATGGAAGGTCTGGGTGAGCTGGGATTCACGAGCACGGAGGAGGAAGATGGCGTGGTGACGTTACATGGCGATACAAGTGAGCTTGGGCAATTCGACATTTCCTTTGAGGATTCACCCGAGAATCTCCTGCCATACAAAATACATCCATCCTGGGACTCCAAACCCGTGGACCGGCCACTGCTTTGCAGCCACCAAATCCCCCCGGAGGCCATCTGGCAAGCTAAAAACATTGCTTTCGCGAGCATGAAGTCAGAGATTGACACCCTCATACAGCAGTATGGACAAGAGAATATGCCACCTCCCTGGCAGGCGTTTTCCATCCCTCACAACCCTGGACCAGGGAATTTCCACATGGTTCAGAAGATCTTTGTCGGCGCATTTGAAACTGATATCCGGTTCAAATCTGGGTCTGGCCCAGCAGTATCCTCAGAATCTCTCACGCAGTCCATCGCAGGTGCCTCCAAAGAATTCACCAAGAAGTTCAAAGAGGTTTTCAAACCATTGGCGCCGTTTACCAAGCCCGCCTACACCGCTTTCTCCGCGTCCATGTTCTCCAATCTCTTTGGCGGGATTGGGTACTTCTATGGTGATTCGTTGGTTGACAGGTCTTATGCTCCAGAATACGACGAGGATAATGAAGGATTCTGGGAGGAGACTGCGGCTGCACGAGCACGAGCACAGATTGTGAATGATCCTCCAGCGGAGCTCTTCACCAGCGTCCCCTCGAGACCTTTCTTTCCACGTGGGTTCTTGTGGGACGAGGGTTTCCACCTCATCCCGATCGCAGACTGGGATCTTGACGTGACGATCGACATCGTAAAGTCATGGTTCAACCTCATCGATCAGGACGGTTGGATTGCTCGAGAGCAGATTCTTGGGCCGGAAGCACGCAGCAAGGTGCCTCCTGAGTTCCAGGTCCAATACCCGCACTATGCCAACCCACCCACACTCTTCCTCATCGTAGACATTTTGATGGACAAAATGTCGAGTCCTGCATATGCTGCGTCCAAGGAGCACATTGAAAGCGAGCTCCGAACCTTATACCCCTTGCTCAAGCGTCAGTACTACTGGTTTCGCCGCACCCAGTTTGGAGACATCAAATCCTATGACCGTGAAGCCTTCTCCACCAAGGAAGCATACCGGTGGCGCGGACGAACACCGCAACATATCCTCCCTTCAGGACTTGACGACTATCCGCGCCCTCAACCACCTCATCCGGGTGAGCTCCATGTCGACCTGATCTCATGGGTCGGCATGATGTCGCGTATCCTGGTTCGCCTTTCTACTTTGCTCTCCGAAGCCGACGACATACCCGACTTCAAATCGCAACATAAAGCCATTGTCCGAAACATCGACGACCTTCACTGGTCGTCCGAACAGAAATGCTACTGCGACGCCACCATCGACGATTACGAAGACTCGGTCCACGTTTGCCATAAAGGCTACATTTCCCTGTTCCCGTTCATGACGGGCCTCCTGCCAGCCAACCACCCTCACCTCCCAGACGTGCTCGATCTGATCTCTTCACCATCCGAACTCTGGTCCCCCCACGGGATCCGGTCGCTCTCCAAATCCGACACCTTCTACGGCACCGACGAAAACTACTGGCGCTCCCCCGTCTGGGTGAACATGAACTACCTCATCCTTCGGTCCCTCCTCAACGTGGTCCAATCCGCCGACCCGGCACCGCCCGCAAAGGTGAAGTCCCAGGCCCTGAGGATCTACACAGACCTGCGCAAGAACCTGGTCGAGACCGTCTTCAGCGAGTGGGCCCGCACCGGCTTCGCCTGGGAGCAGTATAACCCGGAGACGGGCGAGGGACAGCGCACCCAGCATTTCACCGGCTGGACGAGTCTGGTCGTCGTGATTATGAGGATGCCCGATCTGAGTGGTAACAGTGGTAGCGGTGGGGTTCAGCATGGTGAACTGTGATGGCCTTCCTCTTGCAAAGAGAGTTGTTCCAAGTAGCTATGAGTACCTTTGACTACCTACGGGGACATAGGACATTGGTCGCGTCTCGATATGTGATGTTAAGTCATGCCAAGTCAACCAAGAAGAAAGAAAAAGCTAGAGGTCCAGTATCGGGCTGCACGAGACCATGCCAAAAAGCGTGATTGAGGAGATTATCTTAGATAGGGAGGGTCCAATAGAAGAAGAAAAAAAGGCAATTTGAATTGTACACATGACACATCATCAAAGAGTGCCTCTTTTGTTAGGTTATTTCTGGTGGTTGTTGTGATGGTGATGATGGTGATGATGATCCTATAGATGCGAGTGTTCAATCTTCATCGTCATCGCTGCCGTACGCGACGAGAGGTCCGGCCGACGGGGCCGGCTTGGATACCTCTCCGCGCCCTGCATTGGAGGTATATCCCTTGAGGGCGGCCAGGGTTGAACCGGACAAGATGCCATTATTCGCCGCGGCTTGATCGTTGCTGCTCTGCTGGCCTGCTTGTGAGGGAGGATCTTCCGGGGCTTCGGTATTTGCGTGTGTGGACGTTTCGTGTTCGGCGCCGTGGTTCGGAGCAGGAGGAGCCTCGAGCAGCCCCCTCTCGCCCAACTTCTGTCCCTCCAACTCCTTTTGCTGCTGCTGCGTGAACCAGATCTCCTCTGGTGCTTCGTACCCTTCCAGACCGTAGCTGCTCTCGATGCGCCTCTGGTCCCGCTCCTCTCTGGTCTCACGTCCTTCGATTTCCCTGACCGTTCTTTCACCCAGCGCCCGACGCACAGCCTCCGCAGCTTGCTCTTCGATCCTGGCCGCCTCTCTCTTCTGACTGAGTGGGTTCGGATCCACAGTGGCCCAGCGCACGTTTAATATCTCATTGTGGTCCAGTGCTTGGTGTGCCATTGCCTCTTTTGCAAACTGGCTGTTCGCCTCGTTGACGTACGTGACGAAAGCGACGCCCCGACCTGTAAGGACACGAATACGTTCAATCTCTCCCCATTCTTGAAAATGTCGCGCCACCACTTCCTCGATATCATCCGACACGTGTATCCTCCCCACGTAGAGTGTGCGGTTCTGTCTCATGAAACTGCCCACACCACCCATGTCGTCCCGATAGTCGCTGTGTTTGTCCCGCCCGAAGCAGTCAACGTTCGGGTTGAAAACATCGTATATAGTCGGTAAACGATGCAGGTATTGACATTCGTGGCCTTTGGGACACAGTCCTCTGGCGAAGAACAGGCAGAAATAACTTCCCGGCGTCCTGTCTGCGGCTGTCCACCCGGAGTCGTTGCGGATATTACATCGCGAAGGAGCGGCGTGGTTAGACAAGTACGCGTCTTCCCGATCACCACCGGACCACTTGTTGTACCAGATATTAAACACCGTCCCAGTCTGCGGGGGAGGTTCGGATTTTATCGTCGAGGGGTCGACCTGGGGACGCGCAGGCCGGCGCTTGCGACGGATCAGCTTTGTCTTCTTTGCCGGAGGCTCCTCGGTGGACGCTAGGGACGATTCATTGTTTGTCTTTGTGAGTGCGTTGCTCGTCAAGTCGGTGGCGAGCTCTGCGTCGCCTGGAGATGCTGAACGTTTTCGAGAGGGAGAGGGAGATGTAAGAGTCGTACGGGCCTGGACGACTTCAGCCATGATCAATGTCCCTTCTCTTAAGTACCAGCAGTTTCCAGGATGCGAGAATTCAAGGCGCGTGCTGCCAAAACTTTTTTATGCCGTGTCGAGAGTCGAATTCGAAATGCGCAACGACGCAATTGTAGTCGGAGGCGAAATTTAGCTTTTCGCCTGTGAAAGTTATGGTCCGCCCTAGTGGCTGAGTGGAGCATTAAGCGTCATAGCGCACTTTTCCATCTCCAAGAGTGATGAGATAGACTTTAGCACCATTCAAGATCAGAGAATAGAACTGATGTTGTAATTCGAGTACTATCCGTTCAGTCCATCAGCTGCTCCTCTTTAGTACTTTGGCTCTCCCCCTCCAAATATCACCTATGACGCCTCTGATGTCTACTGGCCTTGCGGGCGATTTTGGGCATTGCTAGTCTACTCGGTACCTTCCACTGGCTGTCGTGGTTATGGATAGGAGAGACTCGACATTGTTTCTGCCCTGACGTTATATTACACGGCGGTCCCAAACAGACTTGTTCTATGTCTTTTATGCTCAGGCGCAGCTTGAAAATGGCGTCCTTTCCACCAAAAACCCCGTTGATTATGATCATCGGCGCAACCGGCACTGGCAAGTCAAAGGTGAGTTTTCTTGGGTTGGGCGAAAGAACAGCATGTGAAAGGAACGGGATCTAATGACTCCGGAGATAGTTGGCTGTAGAATTAGCCACTCGATTCAATGGCGAGGTCATCAACTGCGACGCGATGCAAATGTACAAGGGACTTCCGATCATCACCAACAAAATCCCAGAGGCCGAACGGAATGAGATTCCCCATCACCTGCTCGACTTCATCGGCCTCAAGGAGAAACTCTGGACGGTTCAGCAGTTTGTCAAGGAGAGCTCCCGCATTATCGATGAGATTCGAGCCAGAGGCCGGCTTCCTATCGTAGTAGGCGGGACAATTTACTACACGTTTTCTTTGCTCTTTGAGGATGCTCTCCTTGCTCCCCAACAGGACAAGCACCGGCCAGAGCCTGATGCAACAGACAACAACGAAGAGTTTCCCATCTTGTCGGCGTCTACAGAGGAGATTCTGGCAAAGCTCCAGGAGGTGGATCCTGAAATGGCGAAGAGATGGCATCCAAACGACCGGAACAAGATCCGGCGGTCTCTGCAGATATATTTGCAAAGTGGCAAAAAAGCCTCGGACATTTACGCTGAACAGCGTCAAGCTGCACTAGACGCTGACAGTGACGCCCTGGGTGAGCGTCAAATGAACCTGCGTCATCCCAGCCTGCTCTTATGGTTGGAAGCCGACGATGCTGTACTGAAGCAGAGGCTGAATGACCGGGTTGATGCCATGGTGCTAAGTGGGCTGTGCAACGAGGTGTTGCAGATGGCAAACTTGGAAGAGGAATTGAAACAGGAGGTAGGGCCGGTTGACCTCGCCGGTGGTATCTGGCAATCGATCGGTTATAAAGAAATGAAGCCCTGGCTTGAGTTGCATCAAGGACGGGATGCCGATCCTGCCAAAGTGATGCTAGCAGAGCGTGAGGGTATAGACGCCATTAAAGCAAGCACCAGGCGCTATGCAAAGCGTCAGAATCGGTTTGTTAGAATTCGGCTGGCAAAAGCATTGAAATCTTCCCGAAAGCTTGATCGGCTATTCCTTCTTGACTGTACCGATCTGGCCAGCTGGGGCACCACAGTGGCAGCGCCTGCACAAGCCCTTGTGAACGCATTCCTCAAAGGAGATGAGCTGCCGGAGGCGAAGTCTGTCTGCTCCATGGCGGAGAGAGTACTCTCACAGATCGAGGAGGACGATTTCGATGATGTGCGCGAAGCCAGGACTTGCCAAGTGTGCCAAAAGACACTCATGACGGAGAAAGAATGGCGAGTACATCTTGCTAGTCGCAGCCACAAGAAACTCGTCGCGTGGCGCCGTAACCGGGAGTCGATACCGGTCAAGGAAGGAGATGGAAACCAAGAGGTCCAGATACCGACTTCTCCAGGCTGATGCTTCAGTCAATTCAAATGCCCTATACCGGAGCAGTGCGGTGCACAAAGCGCACCACAACCAGGCCAATCAAGGAGGTTCGGATGCCTCTGCTGTTGCATCCGCTCTGAGCTTCTGCAAAAGTTCCTGATGCTGTGGCAGGCCGTGGGTACGCCACTCGATAAAAGTGGACGACAAGATGTCGCCGTGCCCTGATTCTTCCAGCTTGAAGACCTCCAGCACAGGAGACTTTTCTCGTTTTCTGATTCGCCAGACACCATCAGCAGTGACGGTAGCTTTCAGCCCTGTGTCGAAGTCAGCAGTGTTAGAGCATATCTGAATTTGTGCTCACACTCAAGAAAGCTTGCGGCAAAGTTGATGCAGATTTGACCATCCCACAAACCCTTGCCTTTCAGCTTGACGTTGTCGGGGATATTCTGCACATTCAACTCTTCAAGACGTTCCAATGTACCTTGCTGGGAGCGATACCCAACAATAATCCTGGGTACTCCCAGCAAGAAGGATTGTGCCCAAAATTTGAGAAGTTTCCTCTCATATTTGATCTGTTCTCTCTCGTTAGTGATCGTGGCCGTCGTCTTGAGCTCCACCCAGTCGATTGGCAGCGATTTATCTTCTGGCTTGCAGGCCATGACAGCGTCCACTTCTCCACCAAGAATCATCTTGACTTTGCCGAAGCCGGTGCGGACGATGGAGCAATATTGAGCGTGGTTGCTGACCAGGAGATCTTCTCGGGATTCAATGTACTCTCGAGAGGTCTCGGGCCATGGCGTCGGCATCAAGGACACAGTCTCGAATTTGTATCCCCAGAAACTCATGAGGTCCTGCGACATGGCGCCTGGTCGCCCCGCAGATGAATACTGTTCCTCACGGGAAGAAATCTTCTTGGTGTGATTCTCCTCAATGAAGATAGTGCCTTGGAAAAAGGTGGCATTCATTTCCCAGTCGTCCAGTTTGGAGAAGGGAACTATCATCAGCTGCCTAGGCCATGAGCGAGTTGTTTCGTAGTCGCGTCGAATTGTTCACACCTTGGTCATCATTCCCCGCCATGTCATGAAGTCGATCTCCGCTTTGGAGCCTTTCTCTTTCTCATACGCTATGATCGCATCCAAGAGTCCATCCAGATGGTCATCGTCAGAGTCGTCGAGCTGGTGGAACGTCTCAAAACCTTTGCTGAGATCACAAGGAAGTGCGGGCGGGTAGTAATAGCGCAGGCTCGAGTCATCGAGTCGAAACTTGTGATCCTCGTCGAAGGAAAAGTATGCGATTTCCTGAGCTTATCAGATGGAAGTTTTCCAATATGTGTTGGAGCACACGTACTCGAGGCCTGCGAATTGCTGCATTGAGGCCCGTGAAACGAGCCACGGGCTCAACATTGAAGTGGTGTTTCTGTGCCATTACCGCGCCCCAGTTACAACCGAAGCCTCTGTGGGAATCATGTCGCTCAGCAGCGTGTATCCCGAAACGTGCTATAGCAAGATAGAAAGGATATGAGAGTCAATGTGCTGCGCCATGGAAGAAAGAGCGCAGAGAAACCGCATACTCGGTACAACTAGATGAACACGTGAGAACGCGTGGACTTTCGCGTCGCGTTCAGCAATTGATCTCACTAATATATCGACAACGAAGCGAGACAGGTACGACTATTATGACCCCCCACAAGACACAGAAGGAGCTAAAGAACATATCCTTCTCTGATCATCTTGTTGCATCATCGAAACACACTCCCGCTGCAAGCAGCTGAAAATGGCGGGCAACAAACGCGCATTGAGCCAAATTGACAGCAATACGGCGCCATCACAGCCACCTTCCAAACAACAATCGCAGCAACCAGCGGCAGGGAAAGAAAATGAAGCCAGTCGCTATGCGGCTATGAAAAAGCAAGACCTTTCCACCTTGCTCCAGCAACGGAATTTGCCATACAGCGGTAACAAGGACGTTCTCGTCCGACGCCTTGAGGATTCTGATAGGCTACACACGGCTCCATCTACCTCGGCGACCGGAGAGATATGTCCCGGACCCTTGTGAAGTGATAATCAATACGTTGGACACTGACTCAGATAGGATCATGCCCCCGCACAAAATGATGCGCCTGAGTTCGAATACCTGACACTCTGTAGACCGCTGGATGACATTCGGGCGGAGAAACGGGCAACTCGTGATGCGTCTGAAAAATCCAATGAGGAGGAAGATGAACATGACGGCCAACAGGACAACGGGCTAGAAAGCCAGAATGATCAGCGCGAGTCAATCTGTGGTTTGAAGGGTTGCGTTTGCAAGCGGCCAGCCTCCGAGTTTCCAGGGCATAAGTGGATGCTTACGACAAAAGGCTATCTATTGGTAGCTCGCTTGCAATGGGAGTTGAACATCCGGAACCAAGATGCTGCTGGAGAACACTTCTACAATGATTTCAATGGGTATGGCTTCCAAGAGGTGATGGAGAACCAGGTAAGTTCGGGTTGAACCTAAGACTTTTGGTGCTCTCGCTGAGCTATACGTGCACTAGTTGGTGTCTTTCAACCGTGAATTCTCTCCTGACGTGCCCGTCAAGGGGACGCATCACCTGCGGCTTTGTGGTCAATTATTGAAGGATTCGCCTGGATCCTGGAGGACACATATGAGTGGTTCAACGTCGACGATCCGAACACGGTGTTGCACACTCTGAAGCTCATTGGAGGTGCCGTTTTCACGACGCTGAACTCATTGGAGAAGAATGGGTTACTGTGCCCTGATTCGGCTGTCAAGAATATTGCGCTCGTCCTGGGTGTTTTGTACGACAACACTCGCGATTGGCCAGGTGATCCAGAACCTCAATTAGAGTGGCGGGAAGCCATGATCAGAGAAGCATTCCGCCACGGCATTGAAGTGAAAGGGCAGCCAAATGGGATCGAAACAGTGCTCGAGGAGGATGGCATAGATCGGACCCTGCCCAGCGAAGCAGATTCAAAGTGGAAGAATTTCAACTGGACCAAAGAGGTGAGTCCGACGGTATCGATGCCCACCAGGAGCATTTACTGATGATTCCACAGTTCAAGGCTTTCTCCAAGAAACACCGAAAGGGCAGACGATCGGAGGCCGACACTTCGCTTTGTGACCCGGTTGAGGACGTAACCAGAGCGCACAAAGTCTCTAGTTGCATGTGAGATATCTGGAGTTTGACCATGGCTGTTTGTGGTGCACTGTCCGTGACGAGTGTACATGTACCTATACTTAATATCCCTTGCTTTTCGGAGTGGAAATCTGCCATACATCACCCAGTCCCATGCTTCGTACTTTTCCTTCTCACATTCTTGCAGACGACCGAAGAACTAATCTCTCAGTTTCACCTTGACATTCAGGTTGGACTGGAACATTAACCATCGATTAGACGTCTTCCACTCGCTGAGCAGCTCGAAATCGAGGTGGCGGACGAGCTGCGGGACGAATTTCGACATCTCCATCAACGCGACATTCAGACCTTGACAAGATCGCGGACCGACGCCAAACTATACCGTGTCTGTCAGCACCTCTTCTCGTTCGTTCGAAGGCCGGCCAAACTTACAGGTAAATAGTAGCGATTCATGGCGGTGGTGTCTCCCTCCAGCCATCGCTCTGGGCGGAAGACATCTGGATCTGGTCCGAAGACGTCCTTGTTGTGGTGGGCGACCCAGTTGTTGATGCCAACAACAGCTCCCTCGGGGAAGTATTTACCGGCAATCATTGCGCCACCTGCTGGGACTACGCGAAACAGTGGCAGCCTAGGGAACACGGTGAGTGAAGCGCAAGGAATATTGGACGTCTGATCTTACCCAGTGCCGGGGTACAGCCTCTGTCCCTCCTTTATCACCGCCTGGCAATAGGGCATTTGCTGTGACTCGTGGAAAGAGATCGGGTCCGAAATCGAGCCTGCCTTGGCCATCTCATCGATCTCTGCGCGCATCTTGTCGAGGCACCGCCGATTCTTCATCAGGTAGTACAGGATGGCAGAGAGTGTGATATGGGTGGTATCAGCACCAGCCACAATATTGCCAAAAGCTCCGATCAGAACATCCCAGTCTGTGAAGGTGGTTGGATCCCTCTGCTGGCCGGCCAGGAACTGAGCAAGCATATCGTTCTTGTGCGACTTTCCCTCTTGTCGTCTTTCTGCGATGCGCTTCAGGGTATAGGAGATGGTATAGTCTACTTGAGCTGTGTCTGTCCCGGCGAGCCAGTTGACTATCTTGAACAATATCGGGTGCAGTTCCGCATATACGCCCGCAAAAGTGCCATATGACATTCGGTGACGGAGGCTCTCAATGATCCCTCCGACATCCTCGCCCTTGTCAAGGAATCCAAATCGTTCAGAAAACTGGGAATCGTCAGTCGGTAAACTGGTCAAGCGGAGGTATCGAGGGAGCACACCGTTATATGGCCCTGACAATCAAACGCCCAGCAAGTAAACCAATGTGTCAGGTCTACAGTCTCACCTGACTTTGCAAAGGTCTTGAGCTTCTCGATCAAAAGCTCGCCGCACTCATCAATCAAAGGCTCGTAGGCCAGCACCGACGACATGGAAAAGGCTTGTGCAAAGTTACGACGAAATCGAGCAGCATCCTTGTTGTCTGGGGTGCTGAAGTTGGTCGTGGTACCCGGTGGACAAGACGCGCCATACCACGCCGACTTGCTCCACGGGTTTGAAATGGTGTAGATGGTTTTGATCGCCTCGGGGTCGTCGATACTGTATGCGCCGGGCTCGAGGCGGACGATTTTGCCTGGAATAATTTGCATAAGAGGAATTGGGTCAGAGCAGTGTGTCGCCGCTCACCATGTTTTCTATGTAACGCGATATTCACCTTTTCAAAATCCCCTCTGATGAGAGCCTTCAGGTACCACAGGCGGGTGAACCGAGCGAGCAACGGTCCGGGCGCCGATGGAAATTTGCTAGTAGCAGACCAGAAGAAAAAGTACAGCACCCAAGCAACAGGGACGGCCAACAGGCCAATCAAGGCTGATGTTTTGTACATGACGACGGCGAGTCCAGGAAATTCAGGACACTTTCCGCGTCTTTCTTTCCTTCTTTTCTCATATGTGAGTCTCTCCGGGTGAAGGATCGGGCCGTTGGGGGAGAATAGGTATAGGTATTATACGACGGGAGAGGATACCTAGGTAGGTATTAGCCTGAGGGCGACGTGGGGGATATCTGCAAGTACCGCGAGGCAATGCAATCAGCACATGCCGGGTGGGCTCTGTCTGTCTTTGCAATTCCCTCCAAGAAGTCGCCTTGATCCTCGATTGCATCGTCTGCTTCGCTGTTCGCCGTTGATGACATGGGACGCAACACTATCGGCCAGGGTTTCCCAATCAAAAGCCACTGAGCAGCTGGGAACGGCACAAGGCGGTCCACCACGGCTGGACTGCGCTATGCAGCTCTTACAGAACAAGTTCTGGGCTTGAGGCGAGCCCCCGTTGGCTCCCGGTGTCCCCGACATGATGAGCATGGATGCAGGTGGACTAGGATGGACGCTGTCCAACGATAGGTGTGTCGCCTAGCTCGGCTCTAAAAAAACAGCGTGGCCGCCACTCGGAAAGGACCCTCTAAGCTCCCCCGGCTGGTCTGGGTGATGGAGCCAGTAAAACGTGGCAGGTGGACCCTGGGTTCCGTCTGCAGTGACAGTGCTGTCGGCTTGTGCCAAAAGCATGATTGTACCCAGCTCACCAGCACTCCACAAACTCCCGACTCGAAAGCCCTCTCGAGGCTTGGAACCCGAACCTTACTGGCACCTTTTGAGTCGTCTTTATGTATAATGCACATGGATCGCCCTTCGCCGACCGCTCGACAGCCTTTCCCGGATCGCAGACATTATGGCAACCGCAGGCCTTGATCTGCACGAGGCGGGCAGTTCTGCTGTCGTGGACGCTGCTGTTTCTGGAGATGTCACGATACTGGTGGACGAAGAGGTCAGTCCACGTTTTGAGCGCCATTTTCGAACGACGCGGGACTAATTCACCGGGCAGGCAACTGAGCGAGATTCAGCATATGGAGATGAGCTGTACCTAGACCTGTCGTTGCATCGATACGCGAATGCTCTACTGACCCAAGTCAGATCTGCCTACACAGCCTCGCTTACCTCGTCCGTCAACACTTTCATGATGCAGTATGGCCGCATCTATCATGCCTTTCGAGATCACCAGGGCAGTTCGTCTCACCCCCGCTGTTTTCCTTGTTGATTGCCACGGTAATAACATCCTTCGAGACATGTTGCCCAGCGACGAACAAGAAATGAAGCGGCTAGATCTTCATCATGCATTGATGCTTTGGCTGCTGGACAGCCACCTTCATTATGCTCCAATCGGTTCAGAACCCCAGCGCGTCCTCGATCTTGGTACTGGGACAGGCAATTGGGCTGTCGATTTTGGTGAATCAAAACCTCCCGTTCCTTTCCACGCTCCCAAGTTCTAACAATACTCACCAGCCGACCTGTATCCAACGGCAGAAGTCATTGGCACGGACTTGACACCTATACAGTCCACTTTCGTGCCCCCGAACCTAAGGTTCATTATTGACGATTTTGAGGACGAATGGGCATACGATGATACGCCTTTTGACTATATCCATGGACGATATCTGGCGTCCTCAGTTCGAGACTGGCCACGACTAGTTAGGCAATCTTTTGAGTATGTTGGTTGATCGTGTTCGATCCACACGCACCCACTCCACCCGAATCTTGAATCTTGAATGCCTTGCAACAAGCATGCAACTAGAGTTGTGGATACTGACGATGCGGACGCCCTAGGAATCTAAAGCCTGGCGGTTGGGTCGAGTTCCAGGAATGGGACACGCACATATATTCAAAGGATGATTCGTTAGCCGAAGACGCGGCACTTTTCAAGTTCCACCACTACACATGTGGCCGCCGCACTGCTGCTGGCTACGATTCTCAGCCAGGCCCAAAGGTCGAGGGCTGGCTTCGAGACGCCGGCTTCACCAACGTGCAGGCGGTTAAACTACCCATTCCGCTGGGTATATGGCCCAAGGACAACAAATATGTGAGTTAGATATGGACATTGCGCGCATCGTGCAGGCTCTAACCACTCATCCCCTTCACAGAAGCAAGTCGGAATATGCAACTACCTGCAGTTTCAAGCTGGTATGGAAGGCATCGCACTCGGGTGCCTAGCGAGGACAGCAGAGGATCCTTGGTCCATAGAAGAGGTGCAGGTTTTGCTCGCCGAGACGAGAAGAGATATGAAGAACCCAAAGATTCATGGACAGTACGATTTGTAAGTAGGAGTCGGTGTGGACGGGAGATTCATCCTCGTCGCATCGTGCCGACCTTTTGAGAGATCCGAGCTGACTCTAAATATAGTTACGTTGTGTTTGGACAAAAGCCCTCCTTGTGAAGCGGGAGCTTGGTTTAAGGTACTATTGGAGGTTAGGATGAGATAGCATGGCTGTACCTTTAGTTGAAAGTATGACAGGGAATCATTCTTCGGGGTAAATATTTTGGTGAAGTTCAAAAATTGGTGTTTGATATGCTAGAACGAAATGCCCTCTCTTTCCGAGTTGCCTATTCAATTGGGAATGCCTCACTCGATTGCGAGCTGCTTGTTGACAAAGGTTGCCCACGCGACAAGGCTGAGGTTTGACGAGGCTGAGACTGACGAGGCTGAACCGCAAGGCTGTGCAGCTTCTACGGTGGATCAGTGCTTGGCGTCCACGAAATAGTTTCCAGACCCAGACATTGCGCCACCATTCACTTTCTTTGACTGCTTCCAATGTATTTGTATATGCTTATTTCTTCGGAGGACGTCTTGAGTTGCAATTCTGTGCCATGGGACCCATCAGGTGATAGTGGCCATCAGCCGTCGGCGTGAGCAGTCGTTCGAATCAACAGGCATCGAGGATGATCATCACATTTCGCAATGCCGCGCTCTCACTCTCCAACATCGTCCTCATTGCGGCCCTCGTGATTTTTGCAAGGGGTTTCTTTCCTCACAAAGCATTCCTACCGGGATTGGCAACATGGTCCGCGACGTCTGGAGCTGGAGCTGGGGCTGGGGCCGGGGCTCAGGCAGCCCCTTTTGACCGCGTCATCTTTATGGTTGTCGACGCTCTGCGCAGCGACTTCGTCTACGGAAATGCTTCGAGTTTTGCTTTTACCCAGGGCCTCGTCAGATCTGGCGCCGCCGTCCCCTTCACCGGCCATGCCAGTCCACCGACCATCACCATGCCGCGCGTCAAGGCCATCACAACCGGCTCGGTGCCCAGTTTCGTGGACCTCATCCTCAATTTTGCCGAGTCGGACACGACGTCGACCCTCAGGGACCAAGACACGTGGCTGGCCCAGTTGCGGGCAAAAGGCCACAGCCTCGTCATGTACGGGGACGACACTTGGCTGCGCTTATTTCCCGACTTCTTCTCCCGAGCCGACGGCACGACGAGTTTCTTCGTGTCCGACTTCACCGAGGTCGACAACAACGTCACGAGGCATATTCCTTCCGAGCTAGAGAACCAAGACTGGTCCGCAATGACGCTCCATTTCCTGGGTCTGGACCATATCGGGCACAAGACTGGACCCAAAGGGCCTAGGATGCCGGCAAAACAGGCAGAGATGGACGGTATCGTCCGGGACATTTACGCAAAGTTGGAAAGCTATGACCATCTCAAGTCATGTTTGTTGGTCTTGCTTGGTGACCACGGCATGAACGAGGGCGGGAACCACGGCGCGTCCTCCCCAGGAGAAGTTTCCACCGCTCTCACATTCATCTCCCCAAAGTTCAAGTCGGCGTTCGAAGGACAGTCGTGCCCCATTGACGATGCAGTCGACTATCAATACTACGACACCGTTGAACAATCCGACATCGTTCCCACTCTTGCCGCTCTACTGGGATTCCCCATCCCGCTCAATAACCTCGGGGTCATCATGCCGCGATTGTTGGAGCTCTGGACCCATCCTCACGACCAGTACGCTTTACTCTACAGCAACGCCGAGCAGATTCTGCGGATCGCCCAGGCGACGTTTCCGAAAGAGTTCGGTGAAGTGTCGATGCCAGGTGGATGCTCGATAACCGACGGAGACGACGCCCAAGTCCTCGCCTGTCTGTGGCAGCATGTCTCGGCCGAGCACGATGCACTCACGTCGGACCAATCCTCTCCACTGCCGCCGACGACGCATCTCAAGTCATTTCTGTACAGAGCCCAAAGCCTCCTCAGTGGCACGGCCAGCAATTACGACCTCACCAGCATGCGGACGGGCATCGGCCTCGGCGTGCTAGCGTTGGCACTCTGCGCGCCCAGCTTCGCACGGGGAGTTTTCTCAGCAGGGATTGACGGGTTGATACTTCTCGTCATCATGCTCAGCTTTGCTATCACCATGTTCGCCAGCAGCTACGTCGAAGAGGAGCATCAGTTCTGGTACTGGACCCTTGCGGGCTACCTGGTCGTGTTACATTGTAGGGACAGCCGGTTCAAAATGACCGACACTGCTCGCTCTATCGTGAAAGGCCCGACGGCCACTGCCCTCGCATACCTGCTGTTCGGCGTGGCGCGGCGCTGGAGACAGACTGGCCAGAAATACGCCGGCGAGGCCGACATACTGGGCGAGGTCATCACGCCCAACTCATGGGTGCTCTGGATGCTGGTCATGCTCGCCTACGCCGTCCCGTCCCGCAATCTCAGCCGCCGAGCAGGCGTCTGGATGGGTTCGCCGCAGATGGGCATCCTGCCGGCGTTGGTGTCCATCTCGGCTTTCCTCTTCAAGGTCGCCTTCACCGCCGCGGACGCCCCCGAGCTGCTCGCCTCATTCCCCATCCTCGATCCGCTCGTTGGCTTCGTCTCGGCGTATCCGCTCGTGAGCATGGCGCGGGTCGTCTTCCTCGGCCTGGTCCACGTGCTCGGCTGCGCGATCTACTACGAAGCGCCGTGGCAGAGCGCCGAGCAGCTGCAGCGTTTCCTGCCGGTCCTGCAAGACGTCCTGACCCTGTTTCTCATCACGCAGACCCGCACCGTGTACGTGCCGCTGTTCTTGTTCTTCACCCTGCAACTCGCGCTCGTCCGACGCGGCAGACAGCGGTCGGTCGGCGAAATCACCATCCTGGCCCTCCTGTTCCAGTACGCCTCCTTCTTCACGTTTGGGAGCACAAACTCCATCGCCACCATCGACCTCTCCAACGCCTACAACGGCGTGAGCGGCTACAACGTCGCCGCCGTGGGCATCCTCACGTTTGTGAGCAACTGGGCCGGTCCGATATGGTGGTCCTTTGCGACCCTCCAATTATTCAGCCCTCACCAGCTTCAGAGCGGCGGTGGCGGTGGTGCATCTTCCTTCCTCTTCACGGCGCTGGCGACGTTTTCCTGCGTCCACGCCTTGTCCGTCATGGTGGCGTGCACGGTCCTCCGCGAACACCTCTTCATCTGGACCGTCTTCTCCCCAAAGTACCTCTACACCGCCGCCTGGGTGGTGGGCCAGCACACCGTCGTCAACGCGTTATGTGTCGGGACGCTGCTTTGGCGAAGTCGTGGATAGATTTTTGGGGTGGCTTTTTGGGATGGTCTTTTGACCACCATTTCTCCAATGAGAGTATTTGGTGTTTCTATTCGATCGATCGATTGAGTGATTGATTGATTGTTTGATAAATAGATAGGTAGGTAGGTAGGTAGGTGGGTAGATAGATGAATAAGATAAGAGAAGAGTGAGATAAAAGGGCGAATATCCTCTGTAGAACCTGCTAAAACATTGACTTGTATTCTCGAGCCCGCTGGGCTTTTCCTCCTTACGAGGTTTAGATTTCCAAGACTTTCTTTATCTGGCTTTATAGATGGCCGTTCCCGCCATTCTGTTCTTGGTGCGAGACGCAGAACCCGTCGAAGAACCGGCCGATCCCCGCGGTGTCGTCGATGTAAAGAACCTTTGAGACATCTACAGACGCATCAAGTCGTTAGTCAGTAAGGGTGGATTTCGAGATGACAACAGTGATCTTGCCGACCAAGGGGGGGCGTAGTATCATATGTGTGTCTCTTGATATGTGTCTGTGGAGGATGTGTGTGTATAAAACGTACATTGATCAGGTCGCACAATGACAGTGGCGCCCTTGTCCGGGTCCACGCCGTACTTTTCATAAGCGTGGCCGTGGCCTGAATTATAATGCTCGTCGTCGACGAAGACTTTGTGGAGATCTGGGGTTTGGGGAGTATATCAAATCAGTAAAAGGTTCACGACCGGCCTGTTTGGATGAAAAGCTTTGGTAGAAGAAGATGCCGGATGGATCGATCCACTCACCTCTCATCTTCCACTTGCCCGTGACGGGCCAGAAATAATCGGGGATTTGCTCCTGTTCGAGTTGCACGCGGTTGCCACTGACGAGCACGATGGGCTCGATGAAACTGTCGATATCTGCTGACAGAGGGGTGTACTTTCGCACGGGACCAGCGCGAGATTCCATGTATTCCGCGATCTGGACAGACTTGGGTCAGTTCTTCTCTCTTCACAGCAGCAGTTAGCGGGAGTGAGGCAAGAGAGGACAAACCTGCTTGAGCCTCGAGAGCAGTTCTGGGCTTTCGATTCTGCCGGCAAAGAAGATGACGCGCCACCGACCGTCGGCCTTCAAGGCCCGCGAGAGTTGCATGGCCTTCACGTCGCAGAACCGCACCACCTGCGCCCCCGGAAATCTCATGCCGACCACAAGCTCCTTGGCCAGTTCCTGCGTACTGGCGGCGCTGGATGTGACGCTGGAGTCCTCGTATTTCGATGTCAACCCAGCAGTGTACCGTCCGGACTTGATAAAGCCCTCGCGAAACTCTTCGGGGGTTACCTTCTTCTCGTTGTCCCCCTTGTTGCTCGCAAACAGCTTCATAAAGTAACGGTCAAAGTCGATGAGATCGGCCGCCGTCTTGCCGCGCTCAATGCTGTACGTCTTCAACAACTCTGGTGTTGTCTGTCCCGTTAGGACATGGCCCAGTTTCCAGCCGAGGTTGAACCCATCCTGCAGGCTGACATTCATCCCCTGTCCGGCCTTTGGTGAGTGCGTGTGGAATGCGTCGCCGGTCAAGAATACCCGGTTAGACTTGGTGAAGTGATCCGCGAGACGTTGACCTATTGAATAGCATGACCACCAGTACGTGTCTGCAAAGTCCATCTTGTACGGGTGGAAGATCTGCCGAGCTTTTTTGTGCAGGTCTTCGAGTTTGATATCCTTGACGTTTGTGCCCGGCGGAAATTCGATGTAGAAGCGGGTCAAGCAGCCGCCTTCTCGAGGAATGACCAGAAGGGACCCTGTGTCGGAGTGGACGGTGACCTTGCGACGGATGTCTGGGAAGTTGGTTTGAGGATAGATGTCCATGACACCCCAAACGGCATCGGTGCTGTCCCCAACCATCTTGTAGCCCAGTGATTTGCGCACGACACTGTGTGCGCCATCACACCCCTGTATTTCAACGACAGTTCAGTAAAACATACCACGCTAACGACAGGAGGCTTGTAGATGAAACTTACCAAGACATACTTGGACCTGAAAATTTCTTCTTTTCCGTCTTCGTCTCTCACCGCAACAACCGTACAGGGATAACTCGCGTCATGCATCTCAGCCAGCTCCTCATCGAGACTGACACTCTTTACGGTCCACCCGTAACTCACTTCCTCGCCCCGGCCAGCTCCAAGCTTCCTCAGCTTCTCCAGCAGCAGACCATTGACCCGTGCCTGGTTCAGGATGAGATGCGGCATATGGCTCAGACCTTTGGCCGTATCAGCCGCGCGATCGCTCCTGTAGATGCCACCCTGCCCGTCAGGGCTCCAGAAGGCGACTTCGAGGACGTGATACGCCTCGCGGAGCAGGTCCTCTGACAGGTCCAGGGTTTCGAAGATCTCGACGGTGCGACATTGTATGCCGTCGGCCTGTCCAATGGCCATGGGTCCGCCACGTCGTTCCAGGATCTTGAACTTGATCTGTTGCCGCGGGTGTGTCGTGTTGTAGGTCGCCAACCACAGCGCCGCCGTCAGCCCGGCGCTACCGGACCCAACGATCAAGACGTCAAGAAGGTCGGCATCGGCCATTTTCCTAGCTGGTGGTGATAGAGAAGAGGGGTGTGTTGGGCTGCACAAGGTTAGATTAAGACAGATGTAGATGAGATACCAATTTGGGAGCCGTTCAGAAATGGGCCGAACTCGTATGCAATGCAATATGAACGTGATATTGATGAACTCCAAGGCAATGCTGCGGAGTGAATATCGTAGGCTGCGCAACTCGGATCTCCGAAGTGAACAAGTGTCAGGCCTCCATTGAAAACCTCCGTTCACGTCAATGGGTTTATATCTGCCACATCACCTGCTCAGACCTCAGTGTGCAGACCAGAGATCCTCCCGACCCGATAGCAAACAGATTCCTAGGATGCGATACCCGTGTATGCTGCGGTACTTGTGCGCGGCATTCCTCGTCCCCTATAAGTCAAAACCCCTGGCAGTGTGCGAACGGGCATATCCTTCTGTTCAGCGTGTCGTCGGCATCAAGCTGGCCTATCCTCAGCGATTAGAGGGATGATATGCTTTCGTTCTTCCCCGCTCTTTTTTCTCGCTCGTCGCTCCTCGCGCTCGCGCCCTTTCGTGACCGCGGGAATGCTTCCGAGAGTGGGATGTTGTAGCCAATAAACATCGGACTTCGCCCAAATGCATCAGACCTTCGGAATGAATTGTTTCCACTCTGCCATTGGCGTCTTCCAGGGCCACCTTCGATGACAAGGGAGGGCACCGCGTAAGGCTTTTGTGAGAGTCTCTGAGCATCCGAACTGCTCTGCCATCAGCGTATATATCGGCAACGTTGGACCCTTTCGCATCGAATGCATCAATCTGCCATTCATCTAATTACTTAGTGTAGTTTAGTTTAGTGTGTTGTGGCACCGCCAGCCGGGGCGCCAAGTCTGCCTCACCGCTTCTCTGTTTGTACCGGCAGAATACCTGCGAAATTCGTGAATGTCCAGTACAAACTGCGGCCTCCAACACTCCCAGACACAATCCGCTATGTAGTTTGTTTCGACTCTGGCAGAAATGCCTTCGTTAGATCCTGTAACTGCGCTCAACGCTTCGGTGCCTGCATCTGCGATGCCCATCATATCTCCCAATGCCCTTCTCCACGCCCACTTAAAACAATCCCCGCCCAGACGCCCTTCAAACCGCAATCCCCCTGAACCAAGACCTATTCAGCTCAACGTGGGTTCTTTGACGCATTGTAATGGATCCTCACTAGTCAAGATTGGGGCGACGACAATAGTCTGTGGCGTTCGAGCCGAGATACTGCCTACCAGCGAGATCCCCAGCTTTCGAGTCACCAACTCTTCAGGCAAAGATCGCTCCGCTCCATTGAGACGCGAGAACGAGGTGGATGACCATGAAGAGGAAGGAGAATACTCGCCGATTCAACTGCACAACTTGGTGGTTCCAAACATCGAGTTAGGTACCGGCTGCTCGCCTAGACACTCTGCCAACACAGCGCCTTCGGTCGAAGCCCAGTCAATATCTCAGCGAATATTGTCCTTACTTCATACCTCGCAGCTGGTCAGAACATCGGACCTCGAGATCATCTATACTCCGCCTCCAGAGTCTCAAGACCTGGAGCTCGGAATAGACGCGGAGCCGCAGTTGAAGGCATACTGGACGCTTTACGTTGACATGATGTGCATCAGCCATGGCGGATCCATCTTCGATGCTGCTTGGTTGGCACTGGATGCTGCCTTGCGAAACTGCCTTCTCCCCAAGGCTTGGTGGGATGCCGACCTCGAAAAAATCCTCTGCTCAGAGGATGTCAAAGAAGCACGAAAACTGCGACTCAGAGGAATGCCAGTGCCCAGCAGCTGGGGGGTGTTTGTGCCAGAAAAGAGATTGTTGACCTTGCATAATGACGAAGAAAATCAGCCCTGGATTTTGATGGACCCGGACGCCTTTGAAGAAGAGTCTTGCACAGAGGTGGGATGTATCACGGTGGATTGTAGCGACGGTATCAACGCGGCATCAGTATTGAGAATTGAAAAGAGCGGCGGCTCAGTGGTAGGACCCGAACAGATTGCAGAGGTGGTCGAGCTCGCCAAACGCAGATGGGAACAGTGGAAAACTGTACTGGATACCGCATTGACCGTCTGAGATATTGATCCGAGCGGCGCATGTCTACGGAACAGAAAATGATACCCTTATGTCGACAAAGAGCGACCAGGTCTGCATTCACGCATTGACAGTGACCTAACATTTCTCTTCGCAACAAAGCTTCGAGTTTGTTTTGATTGGGATTCTATTGCGCTCTTTTGTGCTCTTGGAGGCATAAACGACCCCTTCTCTCTTGCCAGGAGCCGCGCCGCGTTCCTCCTGCATTGCACGAACCAGCATTGTCTGCGTGGCTGCAGAGCCTCTCGTGTGAGCCAGCACCTGCCATATCGATCTATCTGCAGAGAGCATCATGCAGCACTTCGAAGAGCGATCCAACCCTCTCGAGTTCCTCCTTTCCTAGCCTCAAAGCATTCGTTCCTACTGCGCCGTGATATGCGGACCGACAAAGAACCGCCTCTTCCCGAATCTTCTCGAGTTGTAACCTCCACGCCAGAGAGAAATCCTTGCGTCAAGTCCATCTTCGTCACGCTTCTGACCCTACTGCTCCATGTCTTCGGCATCGTCTGCCGCACCCAGCGCCGCCTTCAAGTGTACAAACAAGGTTTTCGCGAACAACGGTGGGACCGCATTTCCAATTTGTTTCAACTTTTCGGTAATGGTCCCCTCAAAGGCGAAAGTGAGCTCAAAGGTCTGCAAACTGGCATATTCGCGGATGCTGAATCTTCGAGTGCCGGATGGGTGATAGTGATAAGGCTTCACTGCCGTCATGATAGTTTGGCACAGCTTGTCACCGGCGTAGGCGTCCTTGGTGCTGCGCATTTCTGGGATTTCGTGTTGGTGCTCCGCATCGGCAGGGATGGTGTCGATGGTGCTGCTGATTGTCGGGATCGGGAGAAGGCCTGGACTGGTGCCATGGGTGGGTTGGACAAAAGGAGGAAGCTTCTCGCCTGGCCTATATATATTTGTGGTTAGTGGATGAAGAAACACAAGACAGAGTGAGAGAAGAAAAGGTGAGAGATGATTCCATCTTACCCTGACGCAATGATGATGGTTCTGTTCCTCGTTTGAGGTACGCCATACTTGGACAGTTCGACGACTTTCCACTGTACGCTGTATCCCTTTCTGATGAAACCGGAAATGAGTTTGCGGAAGTACTTCCTCTTGTCAATGTCCGTCAGGCTCTTTGCCTCCTCCAGGGTGACGATCCGCGGTTTGCACACCTCTATCAGGGCAGAGACCCTGGAGAAGGAGTCGATGTCTTTTTCGTTCTTCTCACGGTTCGGATTGCGGTTGCAGCCACAGAATGGTTGGCACGGCGGGCTCATATGCAAGTAATCGACGATACTTTCGCCCTCTACTGAGGATGCTTGCCTAATGAACTCGGCAACGTCTTCACGAAGGATTTCCGCCTTGGTCATGCCAAAGTTACGCCGATAAGTCTGGATCGCCGCTTTATCGAAGTCGATACCGAATTTCAGCTTGAGCCCTGCTTGGAAAGCACCAGACGAGGTACCTCCAGCACCACAGAAGGCATCCCCAAAGGTATATTTCTTGTTTTGCGAGCGGTCCACTCCTCGCCATCGACGACGCAGCTCCGTATCTGGGATCGCAAACTCGATGTCACCCAAACGGGTGACAAGGACGCCGTTATCTGCCTCGTCTGGATGAAGCCGTTCAATCCTGCCCATCTTTGGTGGCCGGGATGGGTCCCGCTCATCAGAGGCGACATTGCAGTCTGCACTCTTGTATCTGCAGAAGTATATGTCTTGGTCCTGGTCATCTCCAGTGACCACTTCGACATGCTTTCGGTATTGGAGGTCCGGGTACTCCCGGTTGGTGAAAATGACGGTACAATTTCCTGTAACCTCGTGGACGGGTACTGTCGATATGGAGTCCTCCACCTCCATTTTGTCATTGATCTTGACGAGCTGCACTAGCTCGTTTCGTCTCTCTTGCATCAACAACTCCCAGTGGTTTTGGAAAAGGAGTCTGTGCCCTCTGATGAAGGGGCCCTCAACGCTGTCGGGGATGTATTCCACAATCCGAATGAATGATTGATCTGTTAGCTTGACATCGCTCCCGGGTTGCAACCTTAATGGTCTGCTGGCAGCCTGTTGGACATGATTTATGTCGATGATTTTCCGTGCCTTTGTGACCGGGATCCTTCGACCTCTTGTGACGACGAGCTCGTCGTCGCTGCCCTCGTCGTCTGAGATGATCACAGCTCGGCCTTTTCTGTTGGCCTTCTCACAGAGGTGATCTCTGAAACTGCCTGGCCGAAGGTCTGGCTGCTGTCTTGTCCCTTGGTGCGGCGACATCCTGGCCCAGAGGCTGGGGTTCTGGTTTGCTGGCAAACGACCCGTTTGAAGCATCTTGTCCTGTCCTTTTGCTATTCACTGCTGTCGTTGTTGACGTCTCTTGTTTCAAGCCGGCTGTTACTTGAGCCGCGCAAAAAGAGAAGGAGGGACTGTGATGAGAGATCGAGACGTGACTGGATTCAAAGGTGAAGTGGTTAGACTGAGAGAGGTTGAAATGTTCTCTGGGGAGTTTGAGGTGTCTAAGAGAGGCACAACCGATATCTGAGAGACTGAGGAGCTTGAAGAGCTTGAAGATGTCGATGAGGATGAATCGGCGTGTTCTGAACGAATAGACCAGCTGGCGACTGAGCGATTGAGAGGCTGAACTTAAAGGAGAAGAGTAAGAGATGACAGGAAGAAGAGACGGCGAAGAGTTGATGGTGTTCCTTTTTCGTGCAAGAAGACACAAGACCAGCAAGTGTCCGAATTCGAGGCAGGAAAAGAAGCGAGAAGAAAGGACGGTGAGGACGGTTTCTCTTGTGAGCTGAGAGGATTGATCGAATGGTGTCCGAATCTGAGTGACAGAGGGGACAGAGATGAAAGAACTGGACAAGAGATGTTTGCTTGAAAAGAGAGTGTCGACAGAGACCAAGGAGACTGAGCGAGAAGGTAGAAGATTGGAAAGAGACGATTGAGAAGAGAGAGAGAGAGGGTCAGTGAAGCGATTGAACTTGCGCAACATGGGGATTTAACAGTCAAGACAAGACTGTCCAGAGAACCAGGAGGAGACTTAGTATTCCGCCGAGAGGATAGTCCAGTCCGGGGTACTAGAGCGGAGGAGAACCATGGCGCGCCGTGGTGGTCATGTCTTATCCATAATCATTGAAGAGATTCGAAACAGGGCGCGACTCTTGACAAAGCACACCGGTGTCGTTAAAGCCGCCGCGGTTGCTGGAGGCCCAAACAGGACCAGCTGAATGGAAATGAGACAATGCCATGTTTGCTGCGTGTTGTGAACAGCCCAGTCTGCCTGCTTTCTCCAGAGTCCACATGCACAGCAGGCAGAGAGTATGAACGGCCGGAACAAACTGATACACGGACACTCTTCAGCATACATGGTCAAGACTTGGACCATGAATCCTTTCTACACAGATGGAGGGCTTTTTGGGGGGGGGGGGGGGGGGGGTATCTCTCTGTACTCTTGTCACTACGGTCACGTGCGAGGCTGGCCTCCGAAAGGGGGTGTCGGGTTTTGTCCCGGCCCCAACCCAACGTACATACCTAGTGATTGTAAACCTTGGTTCATTCGTCCAAGGATATTGAGAGCCCGCCTGTCTCACCTGTTCATTGTATAGTATAAAGAGGCATCGTGCCGTTAACGACTCGTGGGGGGACAGTGCATTGTGCAGGAGGAAAAGCCCAGATGTGGGACTTTACAGGGCGTGGTTTGTGTCTCGGGAGGGAAATACAAAAGATTCAAAGGTAAGTACCACGGCCGAATGGTACTATACGATGTGCGTTGTTTTGCCTATGGGTCAAAGTCGCACAGACTGGGGAAGTGGATGCTACCACACTTCTCCATAATCTCCTGGACGAATGGAGTCTACCGTATGTCGTCCAGCACAAAGTCTTAATCGGGAAGGATATGGGGCTCACAGTTCCAAGGACAAACAATACTAGATTCATCCATTTCGCGGCCGCGCCCCGCATCGCAGGTCAGGCTGTGGGTCGATCAAGCAAGCGTCAGAATAATAACAAAGTCTCCTTTCTCAATCAGGCCGTAAAGGTGTTTCCGGTTTGTTTGCTTTGCCTGCTTTATGTCTAGAACGTGTCAAACAAGATCGGGGCAGGATGGAGATGTGCCGGATTGCTTTCAAGGTGGAAGGTGGACGGGAAGCAGATCCACAAGACCAAGGGCACAAGGGGACAACACTGACGGGGTGGCAAGGGTACACGCTCAGATGCAGTCAGAATCAAGGCGCCATCTTGAATGTCAGAGGCATCCATGCTTATCATTCCAAGCGCTAGGACCTCATTCCGTAATATCTGGTATGCGGAGTTTCTCTATGACTATCCCCTTCTAATGTAGCCGAGCACAGACACGGCCGAGTCCCCTGAATGCTTTCCGCAAGGCTGAGGAAGTTAATGTCTCCCGTGACCTGATATCGCTTTGCAGCTCAAGACGTCGTCACCAACACTGCTCGGGTGCGGCCCGTTGAGGACGGTGGACGTCTTGCCAATACCGCAATACATCTTCTCTTGTGGACCATCGACACCTCATGTCTGTGAGAGTTATTTCTCTGGAATTTCGACAGCCTGTTTTTTGGGGGAGGGTTTACTGTTCGGAATAAAGATTGGCCGGAGGCAACATTCTGCACAGTCTTGCTGGGCACATTGCCGCTGTCATCGAAGGTTGTTTGCCCCTTTTCTTCTTCGCTTATGACCCTCATACTCACCCGGACTACACTAGTTACTGCAATGTACTAAATGCTGCGTGATATTTGTAGTTGAAAGGGTCAGGGATAGCGACCTTATGTGACCATAGTTGCGGTGCCGGACACAACGATTCAGGCAATTTCCATTCTTGCTACTTCATGGGCAGAGGAGATGTCGGGGTTGTGAGACGTAGATAGGTAAGCAGTTGGCGCGCGCCTAATGTCGGTGTCCTCCTGTTGCTGCATTGAGGGTGGAGTGGCTCAGGATAAAAGAGTGAAAGTGCGTTCCGACAACCGAATCTCAGTGTGCAAATTTAGCCGTAAAAGCAGCGAGCTCGGAGCCGAATGCCTGGCACGTGAGTACCAAATGCATGCGCCCCTCACTAACCAAATGTTGCCGCGGACCTGCAGAGGAAAAAAATTTATAGCCGCTGTTCGAACCAGGCCTTTTTGCTTCTCAGAGGAAACTCAGCATGTCGACCCTTCGCCCAGCTCGACTGGGCAGTCTACCATCCAACTTGACATATCCTGTGCGAGGTGAATCTCTTTCACCCTCAGATCCGCTATTGCTCGGTCCGAAGCGATAGAACTTCCACTACTTCGACTACTAGTCCTCGATTCTTCCCGACCGGAAAATCCTGACTCTTGTGCCATCTCCCCTCAACGACCCTGTGACCATGTTAATATAGGTATGTCCGGGCCCCTCCACTTTTCCCACCACTGCAGGATGATCCCAAACTGTGTTTTTTTTTTAGATGTTAGACTTCATAACCAGTCTTGCTGAAAACCTTCGGGTCTGATGTTGCGGACTTTGGCGCTTGATATTGCAAGCAGTTTGCGCGGAGACCAGTTTTGGCTGACTTTTCCTCAGAGTTATTTGTACAGACCGTCTGGCCAAAATGTGCGGCATCCTCGCTTTAATCCTCGCCAATACTTCCTCTACTGCCGCTGCCATCGACCTACATGAAGCCCTCTACCTCCTCCAGCACCGCGGCCAGGATGCCTGTGGAATCGCGACGTGTGCGACCGGCGGAAGAATATACCAATGCAAGGGCAATGGCATGGCAGCAAAAGTTTTCCATGATGGCTCAAGAATAGTGGATCTTCCTGGATTTATGGGCTTGGGCCATCTGAGATACCCCACGGCAGGAAGCAGTGCCAACGCCGAGGCTCAACCGTTTTATGTGAACAGTCCGTACGGCATCTGTCTGGCGCACAACGGCAATCTGATCAATGCTCCTGAGTTGAAACAGCACCTGGATTTGGCGGCTCACAGACACATCAACACTGATAGCGACAGCGAGCTGATGCTCAATGTCTTTGCCGATGAGCTCAACGTGACTGGAAAAGCGCGTGTCAACGAGGATGATGTGTTCGCAGCGCTCGGGAGAATGTATGAGCGATGTAAGGGTGGATGGGCGTGCACAGCGATGATTGCAGGATATGGGCTCATTGGCTTCCGAGATGCTTTTGGCATCCGACCTCTCGTCCTGGGATCCCGGCAATCCGCCGATGGCCCCGGCAAAGATTACATGATGGCCTCAGAATCCGTTGCTCTGGCCCAACTGGGATTTGATGTTATACGGGACATTCTGCCCGGAGAGGCTGTTATTATTCAAAAAGGCCACGAGCCACATTTCCGGCAAGTCCAGCAACGGAAAGAATACGCGCCGGATATCTTTGAGTATGTCTACTTTGCCCGTCCCGATTCAGTCATGGATGGGATCAGTGTGCATCGGAGCCGACAACATATGGGCCTGCGACTTGCAGCACACATCAAAAAGGTGCTCAGCCCTCAAGAGCTGGAAGATATCGATGTGGTTATTCCTATTCCCGAGACGTCGGTCACTTCAGCATCGGTCGTGGCTAAAGCCCTGGACAAGGAATACTGCCAAGGTTTTGTCAAGAATCGCTACGTGTTCCGAACCTTTATCATGCCGGAGCAGAAGGCCCGGCAAAAGGGGGTGAGGCGGAAACTGAATGCCATGGCCATGGAATTCAAAGATCGCAATGTTCTTTTGGTGGACGACAGCATTGTACGAGGCACTACCAGTCGGGAGATCGTGACGATGGCTCGAGAAGCGGGCGCAAAGAAGGTCCATTTCGCGAGCTGCGCCCCTCCGATCACTCACGCACACATCTACGGGATCGACCTGGCCTCGCCGTATGAATTAGTTGCGCACAACTATCACGGCCCTGATGCAATTGCAAAACACATTGGTGCTGACAGTGTAGTCTACCAGACTTTGGAAGATTTGAAAGCGGCGTGTGTTGACGCAGCTCGAGAAGCCAAAGCGCAAGACGCCCCGAGCAATTTCGAGGTCGGCGTATTCTGTGGTAAATATATCACACCTGTCGACGACGATTACTTTGAGCACTTGGAGCGAATTAGAGGGCAGACCAGAAAACTGAAAGTCATTGACGAGGCTCGGCGGGCGGTTGCCCAAGGCGTCGCGGGCGAACACCAAATCCAGCTGGCCACGAATGGAGCAGTGGTCACGGAGAATGGCAAGGTGGTGCCTGCAGTCAACGGCAACTCACCCCAACAGTCCATCCAGACTGATATTCCTGGCTCACATCGCGGTTCTGCCGTGTCGTTGGTTTACGAGGACGAGAGCCCGAGTGTGCGGGACCGCATGGACATTTCTCTACATAACCTGGGAGATTTCCCCAGAAATGAGTGAACTTGACCGAATCGACGCATGACAAGGTGGCAATAGTTGGCATGGAATTGGAAGAGCATAGAGGGTGGCGGTCTACTCAGGTTCGGCCGTGGGATTCCAATCCCTTGTAATGTTCTGGAGGGCATCTTGAGAACGCAGTCTCTTTATTTGGCGCCTTCCATTTCTTTTGGGAAAGAAAGCAGGTGCTACTGCCGATGTGCAGGCACAAGATGCTCTTTCCTGTGATCTGGGGCCATATTGCCAATGATCAGTTTTCTCTCAACATCCTCTTTACATGGTTGCTTTTCCCTACCTTTTCGCTTCTGCTTCAGTTGCATTGCGCCTCGAAACTGTTGCTCTCTCACTTTGGTGTTTTTGGGTGCCATTGACCTGTTCCAATCCGGGTGAGGCTATTTCCACCCATCCCCACGTCGCCATCATGTCTCTTTTCTTCATTTGGTTCAGCGCCCTCGTCGGCAGCGTTTGTGCTCAGCTGTATACACCCACCGGCAGCAACGGAAATGGCGACATCACCCAGCCAGGCGCGTGCCCTCGTTACTTACCACCCTTTCCTGGCTTCGAATTCCCTCATCTGATGATACCGATCTCATCCACCAACCCTAACACTGCCTATCCCAACACAAATACTCCCTACGTCACGGCTGCGGACATTGAGATGATCTTCAACTTCGACATTCCCACGTCTCGCAAGGGTCAGACTTGCACCATGGAATTCCTCCTGCCGAACAAGACTGAATTGAGCACGTCTTCATTTGAATTCGCCGGTCCCATTGGGTCCTACGTTTTCTCTCTGTCGGTTCTGGGGGGAGGCGCAGTCGAAGGCAACACCACCTACAACAACCAACCCCTTCAAGCCAATCCGCATGGACTTCCAAAAACAATGCACATGGAGCCGGGGCACGCATATGCCATTGCCAGCACCATTTGCGTGCCAGGCAAGATTGGTATCACAATGAGCAGCCCTGACAGCAGTTTGACGTGGTTTCAGGACTGGAATCAATGCGCAATTGGATTGTACATCACGTATTCTCCATGAGCATGGACTAAGCTTGAGAGGTTCGCAGGAGGCCCAGCCTTGCGGCTTGTTTGTATGGAATATGGGGCGGAATTATTGGGATGGGCACGCATTGGGACATTAGTTAAAGTTTCAGCGGGTATCTTAAGCGAAGACCAGCCATCTGCTTTGCTGGGTTGCATGAACTGTGGATGATGAGAGAGCTGAGGTTGCTGGGAGTGACGGAGGAGGCTGGGAACTGCAAGCGCTGAATTAAGCATGACTTACGAAGTATGGAGCCCCCTAGCTTGCCTAAATTGGTGCCTATGACGAGCCTTATTAGAGCCCGGCTAGGTGGTTAATTGTCCATCTGGCGCCTATCAGCAGGGGAAGAGCCCCAAGCAGGGCAAGCCCACCACCACCAGGGTTGCCCAGTCTGCCAGTGTGGAACAAACTCTCATCCATGGCCCTCATCCCAATACACCCTTGTTTCGGTAGCAATGAAGCCCACCATAACATTGACCTACCGTTTCCTGCCTCCCTCAAACCACCTTGCTCTCCAGCTATACGTATTGCGCCGCCATCTGAACCAGTCTCGCACTTCCTTCCCACCATCTCCCCCTCGAGTCGATGGAAGTCTCGTTACAAGACCGAACCTCTGGACGCAGGCGACCTTGCCCAACAAGCACCTGACACCAGGGTAAACAACAAGCATCGACAGCAACACTCGAACACCATGTCATCTTGACCCTTTTCCAGATTCCTGGTCGCAAAGTGATCACTCTTCTTCGACACAATAGCCATGTCGCGACCGCCGGCTGCTCGCTCTTCGGTCGCATCTGGTCTTGCCCCTCCACCACCTCCAGGCTATCCCGCCAGTGCGCATGGTTCAACATATTTCGCTCCTCCTCCCGTGTCTGTTGCGCCCACAAATCTAAGTCGACCACAATCACGCCATGAGCCTCCTCCTCTCGCTTCGACAATGGGCCCTATGCCTGGCACTCTCGAGCGACCCATCCATGGCCCCAAAAAGCGCCTGATCGTAACCTGTGATGGAACTTGGCTCGACGCCGACAACGGCCTGGTAAACGGGCAGAAACAACCCCCGTCCAACGTCTCGCGCATAGGCTGGGCCATCAAGGACACGTCGCGCGATGGGATACCTCAGATCGTAAATTATCAGGCTGGCGTGGGAACCATGGGTGGCCCCACCGCGCGCGTTGTCGGCGGCGCAACAGGGTTGGGGTTGAAGGAAAACATGCGCATGTCGTATACATATCTGGCTGTCAACTGGCGTGCCGGCGACGAGATATTCCTCATGGGCTTTTCTCGTGGCGCGTTCACAGCGCGTTCTTTGGGCGGCATGGTCGGCGCATTGGGTCTACTCACGCGAAGCGGGCTACCCTATTTCAACGAGATTTTTGAGGATTGGGAACACCGTGCCGACGACCGTTACGTCTCCCAGTTTCCTGACGTTCCATTCCCGGAGAAAGGGCGGTTTGATGATCGTTATGTGCAGGAATTGGGTCGGCGCGGATTAACAACGTTGAACGTCCCGATCAAGGCGATTTGCTGCTGGGACACGGTCGGTGCTCTCGGTATCCCTCGCGTGCCTTGGCTCGAGAGTCTGAGACTGCAAGCGCGTGGCATGCATGCCTACGAATTCTACGACACGACATTGCACCCTTGTATTGAGAATGCGTTTCAGGCTTTGGCGCTGGACGAACGAAGGGCTCCGTTCACTCCGGCGCTGTGGGAGAAGCGGGACAATCACAGGACGAATCTGGTCCAGTGCTGGTTTCCGGGAGTGCACAGCAACGTCGGCGGTGGTTACAGCGACCAGCAGCTGGCAGACATCACATTGGCGTGGATGATATCGAAACTCGAGCCGTTCCTGGACTTCAGACCAAACTATCTGATAGGGCTGTGGGAGGAGAATCGTGCTTTTTACAAACAGACGAGACAGAAGACGAGATGGTGGAGTTTTGGCGAGATACTCGAAAGCGTCAAGGGACTCTACGCCTTGACAGGATCGAAGACGAGGACGCCTGGGAATTACTTCCGATCGGACCCCGCGACGGGACGGACCACCAACAAGAGGTTACGAGGAACCAACGAGTTCATCCACGCCTCTGTGCGCGCGAGGCTGGGGCTACAGGGGCCTGGAGTTGAAGACCGTGGTACCTACGATCCACCCGCTCTGAGAGATTGGACGTTCGACGTAGAATATGTAGGGCAAGGCCCCGGCGCAAACAAAGATGGAATGATTGTGATGTGGAATAACCATGGGCAGTCATCGCGGCGGAGGGGAGAGAAAGGGGGACAGGAAAGGATACCGGAAGAGAAGCTATCAGAGACGGAACTGGTGCTCCTTCAGCAAAGTCCTCGGGTCTACGACTATGTCATGCAGCTACGGCCGAGTGGTGGACCGGGCGGGAAGAGGAGGTCTCGAAGACACGGACAGAACGGGGTGCCGAACGGACCAGGTCCGCCTCCGCCAGGGATGAGCCCGTATGGAGCTGGTGGGATGGGCCAGCCACCGCCGGGATCTTTTGTCGGAGGGCCTCCACCACCTAGTGCCCTGCACGGGAGACGCAGTGGAAGGTCACTGAACGCCGACGCACTGCCGGATAGTGACGACAGTAGAGAGCGCGACAGGGAGAGACGGCACCGGAGACGACGCGAGAGCGGAGATCCCGATCGCCATAGACGGCGGCGCAGTCGCAGGTATGACGATGACGAGTAGCGCCGAATTGAGGACCTTTTTCTTCTTCTTCTTTTCCTTGACTCGATGCGGTTTTTCCCCCCTTGTGTCTATTTTTCCTTTTTGGCTCATTTTGCGGTTTTCTTGTCTACTTTTGTTGATTCGATGATTGATTTTGTTATGGATGCGGCCGAAAGGATAAGGAGCACGCACAGATTGTGAGCGAGATTGAACGAGATTGAGCGTGATAATGAGATACCCAACAACATCGTTGCGTCGTGGAGGGGAGACGAGAGGAGGGGGAGGGGGGGGGGGGATAAGGTGGTACTGCATACTCGATACTCGGTACGTGGATCTCCAAAACATGCTCAGGTGGTGGTGACGGTGGTGACGGTAATGGCTTTTTAATGATGACAATGACGATGATAATGATCATGATCATGACAATCATAGCGACTATGAAGAAGGATATAGAGGAAGACTTAACAGGAGGAAGAAGAAGAGAGGGTGGGAGGAAACAAAATAACCCAGATAGATATCAAGGCACAGTACCTACATACCTACATACCTCGTACACATCACCTCATATACCTAGGTACGAGGTACATGTCCATCCATCTATCTATCCATGTAGTCGTTTGTCTGGGTACCTAGATAGATTCTCTGAAATTCATCTATCAGTCAGAAACGAAACTAATGTGAAAATCTCTCTGTTCCAATGCACAGACTCACTTCTATGTAGGTGAAGCCATCTATCTACTGTACATACAGACATGGCTGGCTACCTACCTAGGTATGAGCCGTGCGTGGATGCTTGCTCTACTTTGCCATGCGACAGAATCCTTGTCAACCCCCCAAGTGCATTTGCTCCGTCATCCACTAGATACACACTCACTCACAGAACGGTTATGCACAGCCATTGCTGAGCACAAAGGCCGAAATTATCGCTGTTCATCTAATGCCTTCGTGCTGCAACCCTCAACGTGTGGCCAACAAACCCACCAGCCAATATCACTCATAACATTTGCAATTCATTTCATTAGACGCCCATAACACCATGTCACAACACCAGGAGTCGTCCGTAGTCGAGTCCATTCGAAACCATCCACCTCCCCAATGCAGGATGCAAGTTATGTCGGAAGAAAAAGAGAAAGTGATCACGAACCGAGGGTGGCAGCGACATCCTCATCTTCGAACCCGGTCAGCCCGCCGTCGTCATAGTCGTCGAACGGCAAGCCGGCGTCACGACATCTGGACTGCCACTTGCTAGTCTCAGCCCATGCACTTCTCGCAGACTCCTTCATCCGATCAAGCCGATTGGTGAGTTCTTTGATGGCGATGTCGAAGGTGGCACGCTCATTGTCCCATTTGTTCTTCTCATTGAGGAGTTCCTGGATGTACTCGTATGTGCGTTGGAGGATGGCTCCCTTGTTCTTCTCGGTGCCAGGCACGATCTTGGCAATGTTTTCGATACCTTCATTGATAACCTCGCGGCGACGACGTTCAACTGAAAAGCACCGACGTTAGTCATCTTGTTTGGGCAGTGCAGGTTTCGAGCACATCATACCTTCCTTGTGGTTGTCCTTGCGCAACTGGTGCCACTCTGCACTTCCCACCGCTGGCTTGGGTGGATTGTTGTTGTTCGTGCCCCCACGAGCCTCAACAAGAGCTTGAGCAGAACTGATCCCATGAACAGGAGGGCTGCCGTCATCAAAGGTGAATGGGAGGCCCGCGCTGTTATCATTGGGGTTGGGCTCGGGATAAGCAGATGAGTTCATGCCGGGGGCTGCAAGAGCAGCTTGGGCAGTTCGAGCGTTATCGTCCGCTAGCATTCCCTCACTCTGTAAAAGCAGGCCAAAGCTGGCAGCATCATGCTCGCCGTTTGTGATGGGCACCTTGGTTTCACGTCCGACGTCCTGGTCGGCCAATCCACGTTTACGCTTGTTGGTGGTATTGCCAGTGGCGGAGATTACAGGTTGATTGGCCATGACAGAGAGGTTGATTGCAGAATATGCGTGCAGAGGACCAAAGGCAGGTGTTTATAAATATTGAAATTCAGGCACAGGCCCGAATCACCTCGTCTGGCTGGCAATGCAAGTGCAGCAAGGCGAAGTTCAGGTAGGCGGCGAGGTGGACGAGTGAGAGGGGACCCGGTCAACTATGATCGCAAGGTTAGCCATGGTCAACCAACTCTCCGTGTGCCTGCAAGGGTGAAAAAGAGGGTCAAGACAGGGCGGGAAGAGGGAGTGAATAAAAGAGAGGGTGTATTGCGACGACTTGTCACATGAGCATTGCATGAGGACGCAGTCAGTTGGAGGGCGCGTTTGGGTCAGTTGTCTCAGTCGCATCAAGCTTCGAGTTGCTCTCAGTGTTGGCGGCACCGAGCAAGCAGGACTGAGTGCGCGCGCCAACTTCATCTTGACGCGTTTGGACTTGGACCATCACAAGAGTGAGATGGAGCGCGCTGCGGGCGTGGACTTCTTTGTAGCCTGGTCCAGAACGACATCATGATGAAGCTGCGCCAACCCGCAGAGAGGGAAGCGGGACTGGGTGTTGAAGGAGATCAGGTGCCATCAGGTGACTTGAAGTTGAACTTACCAGTGCAGGGCAGAAATCACAGTCGCAAGACAGTGAACCAGGTTATTTTTGGACGCGAATTTGATTTTCACAAAGAGACGAAACGGGCGCTGGGGCGCGATGGGTTGCGAAGAGTTGAAGAGGTGTGGTTGAGGCAGTAGGTCTGGAATTACAGCATTTCAGGTTCAGATACTCGAGTCTCTATGAGGGAAACAACGACAAGCGACGAAGCGGCGGGCGTCACGGGGGGAGAAGATGCAGTTCATGTGACTCGCTTGCCACTAAGTGGCTAGAAATGCGCTTGTCCCAAAGTCACTTAGCGCCCTCAAAAGGTCCTCCGGTGGCTTGGCGCTTGGCTCCCGGAAAAACAAATGGCAGGCCGGGCAAATGGCATGTGACAGATGCCATACCTGCATAACTTCATCATCACCGAGAACAATCACGACAATGCTTGTTCTTCCTCTTCCCGTCTGACTGTATCTCGTGATCGGCTGTCTGACCCTCCATAATCCGTTTACTTGCAGAAAGTGTGGTGGTCATGGAACATGAGTCGTGCCGGTCCACCCAAATCTCTCAACACCGTGTCTTTCGCCTGCCGCCAGCCGGACAATCCATCCATGCTGGTCAGAGATCTCGAGCTGAGCCTTTGGGACTTTCGATATCTTTGGCCTTGTAATGTACCTGCACTTATACCTGCACGGCACTGGTAAGGCATCGAATGCCTCATCTTCGTGTCTTATTTCGGACCCTTCCGGATGTATCCGCGTGGGAAACCACTGAATACCAGGAACACATCTCCCATACCATCCTCATCATTAGAGGTCGTTATTTGTCCAGTCGTGTCGGGAGTCAGTCTGACTTTCAGCCCTTTTGTACTGCGGTCTCATCACCGACACCGTCTTCTGGTGGTTCGGTGACTTGTTTGAGAGAGACAGAGAAGGCTGGGGCGCTGTCCGTGTCCACCATAAGTATGCCTTCCTGAGCACGGCCGAGAATGTCCCAGATCCTGACTTGCCCATCCTTGGACATGCCCATCACACAGCTGCTGCCCGCATATCGGACTTCTCCAATGCGCGGACTGGTGCCTTCTTCGCCAGCCCTGTTCGCGCAGACAACAAAGGCTTCGGACTGTGCACCTTGTGGCCCAAATAGGGGAGTGAGCCTGTCGATCCAGTAGTTGATGGTGTCCTGGTCTGGAACCATCACCTGACTCGACAACTCCTCGTCATTCAGCCTTGTTATCCAAGCCATGCTAATGACAACCACCTTCGCACGAGCCTCGCGCGCGTGATTGCCAAATTCATACGCCGTCCATGGAGCTTCGAATCGATACGGATTAATGTCCATGCAGATTCCAGCCGCCGCCTTGACCTGCTGACCCTTACCGCCGACGGGCAAAACACCCGCCCAAAAGCCCTGGCCCGCTTGAGCCCATGTCTCGTCCGTGTAGTAGAGGAAGGATTTGCGGTAGTGGGCAACAACGTCCCCTGTAGAGCTGACAAAAACTAGCGAGTTGTAGGCGATCTTGCCTGTTTCTTCAGCGGTGATGCGCCGGTCATAGATGGTGTTGTAGTTGCCTTCCTCGGCCGCCTCCGGATATCCCACTGCCACCGTACACTTCAGCCGTTTGGCAGTGCGGGCCGCCCATCGGGTCGAAGGTCCTGCCGCCGTTGGCTCGAGAAACGGTGCTATGGCATCCAAAGATGGGTGATTGTACCCTGCAACCACAAATTAGCCCCCAACGGCGCAGGCTGTGCAGAACCACAACGCCGTTCCCTTTCCCCTTCCGCGCAGACTAATGACCCTCTCCTGCCAGCCTCATCCTTTGGAACAGGCGCATTTGCGAATAGTGCTCGTGGGTGACTCACCGGTGAACGCAAGTTCGGGAAGAACCAGTAAATCAATGTCCTTCAAAAGACCCTCCCTCTCCTCTCTCATCAGCAGGCTTTCCGCACGGCTGAAATTGGCGGCGACCTCCCCCAGCCGGGGGGAGAACTGGAGAGTTGCGATTTTCATGGTAGGAATGGCCACGACGACATCTCGATCAAGGTGTTCGAAGAATGAAGAGGCGCTACGACGGAGGAGATGTTCTGGCCCCGAGGGTGAACACCTTACAAGGACTCAGGGCAGTTTATTCCAGCCCCTGACAGTACTGACGATAGGGGACTTTGATATGAATGAATGTAAGAGGGATTCTCGATGCGTTATCAAAAGTAAATTCGGCAATGGTGGTGGATAGATCAGAAGCCGAGCAGAATTGCGGTGCCGGGTGGCTACGGTGGAGCAGGAGAAAGACTGGTATATCATTATTTCCGCGTAGTAGCAACCAACGACAGATGTTAACGTGGGAAGTACAGCAAGAGCGAGACTTTACGTGGTCAATTATCATTACTCATTATGCGAAACAGACCATAGAGTAAAATCATGATGATCTGCTATACAATATGTGCGGTAGGCCTGCCGTTATTCACAAGTAGGTAGGCACCAGCCTCGTGGTGCCATGAGAAACACTTCAAGCAGCCTTCGAACCCTCCTCTTCTTCAGTGCCATTCTCTTTCTTCTGCCTCTCCCGTTCTCGTTTCCTTTCTAATAACCGGTTCAATTTCTTGGCCACATTGAAGACACCTCCGGTTCCCGAACCGCAGGCAGCACACGAAGGGTCTTTTCGGTATCGTTTCAGAGCACATGCCTCGCAGAAGTAGTGGCCGCATTTCGTGACAATGGGGGCTGTATATGATTTTTTGCAGATAATGCAGGCAAACGGGATGCTCTCAAGCAGCTTTTCGTCGTCCTCATCCTCCTCCGTTTGCTGAGCATTCCTGTTTGCAGATGCCACTGTTTTCGCGCCAGGATTCTTTCCTTTAGTACTGATTTCCCAATCCCGATCTAGCTGCCATCCTTGCTTGTAGTCCTCGCGTGCGTGAAGGAATTTACAGTTATCCCCGAAACCACAAAATCCAGTTTGCTTGTAGTCCTTGCAGACATCAGGAGCAAAATCTGTGACAGTAATCGTTCTCACATTGCTCGAAGTTTTGAGGGGTCCGACCTGTTTCGAAGCACGGTCGGGATTCTTCTGTATAAAAGTTTGATAGTTTGCCACGCCTTTGTATGTTCCGTCCGCAGTTTCTATGTCTGTTTTCTTGGAGGAGGAGTTTCCGGGCTTTTTGACGCCATCCTCGTCGTACCAATTCGACGCTTTGGTAGCGTCATCCTTGTTTGTTGCAGCGACCACTGGTGCGGCCGAGATTTCTTCGGTTGGCTTCTCGCGAGGTTGATCGGTCTTTGATGATGCAGTGACCCCAATATGCTTGCGTCTTCGCTTGACTTGTCTCCCCTCCTCGTCTTCGAAAGAGGAAAATCCCGAATCTGATTCATCGTCCGGGGGAGGAGTGGCGGCTCGCTTTCGAATCGTGGACTTGAGTTTTGGATTTCTTTTTTTGAACGTAACTTGTGGTGCCTCGGCTGCAACCTGCGGGTCCTCCATTTCTGGGGTATCGAGAGTTGGAATCGAGGATGAGGGTAAGAAGTGTGACACCCTTTCTCTGAGACATAAAGTGCGAGAGAAATCGAGACTTCTCGAACCGGCGCAAGCAGAATCGCAGGCAAGTGTTTCTCAGATGTTGCTTGCATAAGCCAAGCAATTGATCGACCGAGCTAAACCTTAATATTTCTCGCCACAGCTCCCTTTTATGGACAAGCTCAATTTCTCCAAATGCAACCCCAAACTGTTCACAGCTGCGGCGCGTTTTCAACCTGCAAACCAAGACACCAGACTAGTATGCGGTAGATTTAACCCCTGACACTCTTGTTCTCTTCTATCATGTTGTTCAAACCCATGTTACCTTGAAGATACATGTTCCCTTTTTGGGTGGCCTGTCGTCCCACAATCAGGCCATGGTAGACCATGCATCCCAGGGTCGGCAAGCTGGGACTTCTGGAGATGGCTCTCCGAGCCCGAGTCCGACCGCACAAGAACGTAACCGACGCAAGATAGTCAGCTTCAAGGTCACCCATGTGCTTCTTACTCTCTTTATTGTATGGTTGATGTGAGTTGGGCAGAACATGCGTCGCGCCAACGTTCAAGCCAGAAACTGACCGAGACAGGGTTGTACATATTGTTGGCATTCTGTTCTTTGCTAAAGGCTTTCTTCTCACCAGGCTGGTGTTGGACAACAAATCCGAATGTGGAATACTTCCATCTGACAGACCTTCACGAGTAACGGACGGATGCTGGCATCCCAAGTCGTTCGATCGGGCTGTCGTCATAATAATTGATGCTTTACGATATGACTTCACCATTCCTTCTCATCGTTTCTATACAGAACCCCAGAAAAAGTTCTACTTAGACAATCTGCGCATTCTTCACCAGACCGCTGCTTCGAACCCTTCCAATGCAATCCTACTGCCATTTATCGCGGATCCTCCTACTAGCACCCTTCAACGTCTGAAGGGCCTGACCACCGGCACACTTCCTACATTTATCGATATTGGTTCAAATTTTGCTGGAACAGCTATCGAGGAGGATAACATCATCTCTCAGCTGAAGGATGCCGGGAAGACGATGGTACAACTGGGAGATGATACGTGGCATTCTCTCTTTCCTGGATATTTCGATCCGAATATGACACGACCATATGATTCTTTCAATGTGTGGGATTTGCATACTGTGGATAATGGGGTCATCGAGCATATTATGCCTTTGCTTGCTCAGTCACCGATACAATGGGACGTCATTTTCGGTCATTTTCTCGGGGTCGATCACGCAGGCCACCGGTACGGTCCTGACCACCCTGCGATGGCCGAAAAGCTCCGCCAAATGGATGATGTTATTCGGCAAATAATGGAGAAGATTGACGATGGGACTTTGCTCGTGGTAATGGGCGACCACGGCATGGACACCAAAGGAGACCATGGCGGAGAGTCTGATGACGAGATTGAAGCAGCACTTTGGATGTATTCGAAGAAGCCTCGCTTCGGACGGATCGATGCAGCCAACATCTTGCCTCCGGCCACGGCGAAGGAGCGTCCAGTCGGTCAAATTGATCTGGTGTCGACTCTATCAATCCTGCTTGGGCTACCCATCCCCTTCAACAACCTCGGCAGACCAATTGCTGAAGCCTTTGCTGGGGCCGGGACGACGGACTGGGAAAATCTTGCCAAAGTAGAGCAATTGGCCCAGAGTCAGATCTCAAGATATCAAAGATATTACACACGTTCGCGGGACCTCGGTCTGCCCCAAGAAGCATACACGAAGCAAAACCAATATGTGGTCGATTCAACAGAGGCTAGAGCGCTCAGCAAGTGGAAAGATGCACACCACGCCCTCGTCAACTGGCACCAGGAGGTGATATCCATGTACAGGCAACTGTGGGCCAATTTCAACTTGACGGATATGTTAGTCGGGGTGCTTGTATCCGGCCTCGGGTTAGGGTTCCTATTCCTGTTTTCCTGCTTCTTGAAGGGGGACAAAGCTGGACTGGCTGTGCCTCTGATCAGATCCGTCGGCTTCGGATCGGCAACAGGCGCTGCAGTCGGTGGACTATCTGGGTTTTTCTTGCCTACACCGTTCACGCTGGTGAGTGGTTTGATATTTGGTGCTAGTGTTGGTGGCATCCTTGCTGCTGGCATCTGGTCAAGTCGACACCTTTTCGCTCCAAAGTCGTATCTACCATCCACCTGGGGATGTTTGGCCTTCGTTTTCTGTGTGGCCCAATCCGCCGGATTTGCGTCAAACTCCTACACCATCCATGAAGACACAATCCTTCTCTTTTTCCTGAGTACATTCGGGATTGTGTCTCTGATGTCATCAATGCGACAAGCGTCCAAACCTGATCGAGTCTTGGGCACATACCAGTCGGTGGTTTTCATACTCCTTTCTCGAGCCGCATCGTTTTCACGGCTTTGTCGAGAAGAGCAGATGCCCGGCTGTCGCTCGAGTTTTTATGCGTCTACAAACTCGTCAACATCAGCCCCTTGGCAACTTCTGATCCCTTATACCGTGGCTCTGATCATACCGGAAATCATCAAGGCGTTCTACAAAGGCACCGCATCATATGCTGGGTCGGCCGGCTTTTGGATTGGATTCAGCGTCCGTATGGGCTTGTTGTTTGTTGCTGCCTACTGGACGGTAGATGCCGCAGATAACGGAGACTGGTTGCTGGACCAAGTCTCATCAACCACGCTCAAGACAGTCAACATCACTGTGGCCAGGTGTGCCCTTGCAATCGCAATTCCGGTGGGGATAGGGACTTTTATATGGGCGAAACCGTGTATCGACATCTCAATAACCGAACCGACGACTGCCACTGACGAATCTGGCGCCCGCGGCCCACCCCAGTTAACGGTCTTTGGTTATGCAAACGTCTTCGGCAGCCGTTACTTCATCATGCTTCCCATCCTTGTCCTTGCCGTGTCCTTGCTTCTACCGCCCATGGGCCAATATTCGATCGCTATCCTCACCTGGCAGATTCTCTGCCTGCTTGAGATACTGGATACCAACGGACTCACAATCACCTCTGCCTCCCAACCCAGCATTGGACCGATCATGCTCGCCATCCTCGGGTCCTACCATTTCTTCAAGACCGGCCACCAGGCCACCTTGGCTTCTATTCAGTGGAACTCGGCCTTTGTCCCGCTGCGCACGATCCAATATCCTTGGTCGCCACTCCTCGTTCTGCTGAACACCTTTGGAGCTCAGATCATTTGCGCAGCGGCGGTGCCATTGACGGTGCTGTGGAAGAGGCCCATCGACAAAGCAGGCGTACGTGGGCTATGGAACGATGTGCTGGGGGCTTGTCTCACGCATGCTCTGTACTATGCGACGATTCAGCTGGCGACGACAATGTGGGCAGGGCATCTGCGACGGCATTTGATGTTATATCGAGTCTTTATGCCACGATACCTCATGGCCAATGGAGTGTTGCTCATTGTGGATCTGGTGCTGGCCTTGGTTGCCTTGGCCAGCGTGCGGGTCGTCGGACTCAGTGTGGGTGAGGTATTCGGCCTTTGAATTCTGC